ATATCAATTTATTTTATATAATCTTTTATATTATATGATAATAAATTAAATAGTTAATTTAGCACAATAAATATTGATTTGTTTTGTTTTTAATAATATAAAAAATTACAGTTTTACTATAAAAATTTTAATTTTGTTTAAACTTTTTTAATATTTAAGTAATTGAATAAGTGTTTGATTTTTAATAATTATTAAAATAAAAATTAATATTAATATATAGTTAATTTCAGGAGAATTATAAAAACTTTAAATTTACAAAAATATACATATTAATATTATTTTTTAATATTTTTAAATAAATATATGTGATAATAAAAAAAATCAAATTCGTATTCAATTATTTGTATAATTATTAAAACAATTGAATATAAACTACCATTTTTTATTATACTAAAAATAAAATATGTAAAATTTATTATATTTAAGCAACTACTTTCGCATAACATTAATAGGTAATAATATTATTTTCCACGAGAATTTGGAAGTCTAAACAAAAAATATTTATTTGATGGTTAACACATTAATTTGTTTCTATTTTATTTTTCTTTTAAATCCCCAATGTAATCGGTCCAGTCTTTCCTGCATCTCAATACAAGATTATAAAAAAGGAATAAAGAAAGAAAGTACAAACCCCTATGTTATGTCCTAGCCCTAAATAATAATAATATATCCTGCCCTTTATATTCTATTTTTTATCTTAATAAATTGAGAAAAAATATAACTAATTAAGATGCTAATTTTCAATTGTAACAGAAATTTGGATGATGAAAATATATTCAAATATAAAACTAATTTTAAGAAAATGCAATAATTCAATATAAACGTGAAATTAATTTATAATTTATGATGCTCAATCGCCATTAAACTCCGTGCATTTAGAATAACTGGCAGATTATTATGCACATTTCATAGGTATTAATTAATTCATGTCACGTGTTAAAACAGTTATTCCAAAAGTTACTATTTTATTATTAATATAGAAATTCAAGTATTTGATTTAAAATTTAAAATTAATTGAAATTTATTTCATTATTAAAATAAAATATGTACAAGTTGAAAATTTTAAATATTGTTTAAAATAATAATATATTATCATTCTTTAGTCGAATAATTGATTGGAGAAAATATTAATTTTAGTTTAAAAACTCATAAAATACATATTGGAACAAAAATATGCGATTACTTAAAAGTAAAATGATTTTAAAATTATTTCCTTCCCAAGTGGAAAATTTAAATTATAATAATTTCAAAAGAAAATATTAAAGTTATTACATGATAATCATGACTCGGTTAGTGTAAATTGGACCGAAAATATTTAAATGAAATTAAATGTATTTTAAAGAAGGCCCGAGTAAACTAAAAAGAGTTTTTATAATAATCCAAGTCTATAATTTTAAATTTCAAGACTAACATCCTTTTCTATTTTTTTTAAATTAAACTTTCCTTTTAATATTTTTCACTCATATTTACATTTACACATTGTTTTTGTTGCATTTAAGCACTCATAAAAAGATTACAGTGGAAGCATATGGTCCCCGTGGGCCATTACCTATGGCCCATTATTTCTTTTATTTGGATTTTATCAAACTTCAACTTACTTACCTCTGTTCCATTATCTACTCTATGGTCTTCCAATAGAAGTTGTACCTAAACACTTGTTTGAAAATTCAAAACCAAGGATACCAAATTCTAAATTACAAAAAAATAAAATAAGAAAACTCTCCAACATTTAATTTCTCTTTAGAATGTTTATGTAGAGATAAACCAAATTAGTTATTTTCACATCTGCAATTAATTACTTAACTGGGCATGTGTAACTTTTTTTATAAGTTTACACAACATCATGGTATATATACTTATCCGATGTTTAGGTTAGGTTAATAAAAATATGAAAATGTTATCTATGTTGAATAGACAAAGGTAATGTGAAGACTCGTACTTATCTGAAGGGATGAAAAAAATGAGGGCAGAAAAGGATGAGAATGACACATAAGCAGAATATGCAGAGACGTCATGGAATCCATAGGAATAGTGTTGCATTAAGTGTTGGCAAAGACAAAAATGGTTTGAGATAGAAGGTGAGGAAGCCATGCACATCCCAAAATCATGGGAAGCTATCTCAAAAAGGATGAGCTTGCCACATACATTATGTGGTGGATTCTTAGCCACTTGATATGTAGGAGATAAACCAAATAGGACCTGAGTTTAATTACGTAAGTTTAAGTTTAATCCCATAAAATATTATTTTCAATCTGAAACCTTAAAACATTAAGTTTATTAAAAAGACATAACTTTAAGATTGATATTCCTCACGACTCAAAACTTTAAAAAAGTAAATCTATTAGAGAAACAGAGTCTAACTACACAAGAGATTGATATCACTCTCAACTCAAAATCTTAAAGAAAGTAAATTTATAAACCTTCATCTTTATTTAATGCTCCATTTTCTTATTTTTACTCAGTATTGAATTTAGACTTAATTTAATTTTTAACATTAACATGGATTCCAAAATCATGAGAAGGTATCTCAAAAAGATGAGCTTGCCACATACATTCTGTGGTGGCATTGCTGCTCTCCCAGTCACCATCCTTAGCCACTGGATTTGATGTTTGGACCCAATACTTAGTACAAAACCACATGTGGTTACTTCAATGTGTGGGTCCAAAAAGTGCATCACTGGGACACATGATAACAATTCACACTATACAATGTAGGATAAAATGTGTAAGGATCATGTCAAACTGCAATGCTCTTATACTTAATTCTCTGACACTATACAAACTATACTAACAGATTCAAAAGGGTATTTAAATTTCTAGAGATGTAAGTCTGAATCATTGATATTGCCAGGTTATTTTATGAAAGCATCAGAACCTAATTAATGGCGTCACATTGGCGGTTTGCATTTATTAAGTAATAGAACAGCAAGATTGTGTAAGGGATTTCTTTTTAGTTGAAAAGTTTCTATCGTGCTTTTCTCTCGCGCACTACGTTTATTTTAAAGTTTGAGCATGCATGTGTTTTGCTTTTCAAAATATATAATTAAGATAGAGATCATGGTGCTGCCTCTGCAATTATCATTATTCATTTGATTGAAATTTCAAAGCAAAAGCAATCACTTTTTTGGTTTTCTCTTTTTAGTTTCTTATGAAGTGTTGTTGGGGTGGTAGATGTGATGAGTTTTCCTAAGACAATTTGACTTTCTGTTGTCGAAAGCTACAAAGCAAGCAATTCCTTTTTAGTCACTGCATCAATGTCAATGCTTATTTTTGGATAATTTGTTGGTAGGTATTTAATTATAGTAACACAATATTATCAGAATCATCAAATTTGGCTGGATTGTGAAGAGTATCAAGGGTCTCTATTCTCATCAACCACCCTTTAGTCACTGTTAAACAAACTTTTTAAAGAAAGCCAAGTTATTGTAATTTTTAATAATTTTAATTTTAATGATCATACATATTGAACATACTCAAGAATATGACATCAACCTTATCTTATTCTTTTTATCATTGCTGTCATGACTCGTTATGTACATGTATACCAAACCTATTTATGGTTTGTGAAAGAGAAGTTGTGTACTTCAAGAGCATAAGGAACTTGGCCCGAGAACATCATGTACTAGTTGAAATCTTTATGTTACTTTTTTGTTATGTCTGTCTGAAACCAAAATGTTTGACTGTATTATATTCAGTTGACATAATACTTGTATTTTTGGTTCAACAATTGTGTCAGAATACTATATGAAGTTTTGAAGTTCCTGGCCAAACGAACTACTTATGGAAAACTCAATAAGCAACTTGTTCTTTTCCTCTTACTCATGTTGATATGGGACCAACCACATCTTCTTCTAAATAAGGCACATTTTTTTTTTCTAAATGTTGTCAGTTACTGACTCAATGAACCAAATGTTCAATTAACCACACAAAACTGTGCATGAGGATAGCGTTGGCCAAGTATGTCCTTATCAACCTCTGGACCACCCTATAAAAGAAAACAAATTCTGCAATTGCATTTTTACGAAAAAGTAAAAGAGCATTCGTCTCTTAATGTGATAATGATGCTGCACAGTGTCAGCTTCACTATGTACAAAGTGTATTAATTTTATTGAGGCGAGAGTATAATGTAAAACAAGTAAGATTGCAAGGCAGTTTCGGTGAGGTGGAGAGAAGGTAAAAATTTTGAATTTGGTTAAGTGGGACCAAGTCTGTCGACCAACACAACTTGGTGGCTTAATAAGGACCTTCTTGGCATGTGGAGGAGGAAAATTATGAGGGTAGAGTGTTCATTGTGGGTTAGGACACTTGAAGCTAAATATGAGTGTATTAGAAGTATAGAAAATCTTGATCAATGAAGAGAAATGGACGAGAGTGATAATGATGATGCAGTAGAATAAAATTATAATATATAAAAGAAGTCAAACTTAATTTTATTGAGTTGGTTTAATAAGATTAAGGTAAGTGTTGTTTCAAAACCTTAATATGATTTGAAAACCATGTTTCATCTTTTAAAGTGATGGGAATGTCATGTATTTAGTATGAAGTGTTATCTGGTTGGCCTTCTTCATCCAAATGAACACTCATACATATACAGCATCAGATGATAACACTCACACCCTCTGTTAATTTTCATATATACTCGCTTTATCCATTACCTATGTCACACATTTTCCTTCTTGGATAGATTTTTACACATCTAATTTTAAATATTATATTATCTTTTTTTTTTAAAAAAAACCGTCTTAATTTTGATTACACACTCAATGATGTGATACTCAATTCTTGGAGTGTGTGTTCGTAAATTTATCACATTTGTTTACATTTTTTAAAAGGTTCCTCCAAATTATCTTTTGCACTAATTGTCCACAAATATTGTAACTATGGAAAATGCTTTAATTAATTAGATGAAAAGAGGATAGAAATTGAAACTTTAATAATTTCAAGAGTATAGTACAAGTGAGGTAGATAAATTGCTAATAAATTTAATAGATTTAGTTAACTGCGGAGTAGATGAAAGACTAGTAGAGGTAATAATTCCAAAGTAATAATAGTACAAGTGATGCATTGGTCTGACGTCTTTGGTATTCTACTAATTGAATTCACATATGAACCTACCAACTCAACTAAATTCGAGCAAAATTTGCTAACCCTAACAGAAATCTACCACACTGAACCAAAAGTTTCGCTGCATTACTTCCTTCTTCTGACTGAACCCATTTGAAAAAGGATAAATTGCCAGCAAACTATGGTGCCACAACCTCCATAAATACTGTTATAAAGGAGCTTAGAGGCTTCTGATCTGACCTATATGGCACAGAAAGATATGCTGTTGGAATGTGGTTGTGATACAGCATCTCCCGCCAAAGTAAAAAGAGGAAGTCATATATGTTTTGTAGATGAATACATACGAACAAAATCTTCAGAAGTTGTTTTGCCTGCTCATGTGGGAGATTGTCTGAAGATCATATTCATCTGTTGTTCAATTCATCTGCCTAGAAGAGGAAAAGAAAGGCAATTATCAGCAACCTATACAAGAACAGAATACCATATGTTTGCCAACACTCGACAGATAGAGGCAACATCATGAATGATCAATGTTCAAGCCTACTACATAAGAACAACAAGAAAGAGTTGCCTGAATTAGTTAGATATGTTGTTCAACAAATGCAAAAAAACAATAACCTTGTTTGAAACATCCTATTGATGCCTAGCAAGGGCAAGTGGGCCAGACCCACGCCCAATTTTATAATTAAAATTAAAATGACAAATAATTTAAAGATTTTTTTTTGCATTATGTGTTTTTTAAAAGATATAATAGTATTGTAATTTAAAATCATTATCACTTATGAATTGATTTAAATGCAAATGTAGTAATCTTTTCCTTTTATAATTAGAAATATTTACATGGTTAAGTTATATATTAAAAAAAAAACACTGGTGGGCTTGTGTTCTCTAGTGGGGTAGACCAGAGCTCTTAGCTCGTCGTGTTGTTGGCCCACCATAAAAAAGGCCAAAGTGTCCCCTTTGGCCACCCTTTTGATGCTCTCTAAAAAATCTCATAAATCTCTTTATTGCCCATGTATGCTATATATGTATTATAATGATGCATTATACAACATCTTGCTACAACATAGTATTATTAATTCCTTCCCATGTCCTATCACGTTGAACAATCTGGTAGCAAGTAGCAGGAAAACCAGTTCATGACTCTGTGCATAAAGATTTGGTTAGTCAACAAGAAGTCAAACATCCCAAAATACCAATCGTTTTTTTTATGTATATTTCAAATGCCAGTTTCTGTCGTTTCTTGGTTAATTCCAGTTTTATGCGATAATAGAGTCGGTTTCTACCAAATTTCAACTGGGAAAGCAGAGATTAAACGAGAAAAATAATAGCAAGCGGGAGTGGATGCATGAAACTTACTATTATTTCTTCAATATTCAGAGTCTCTGAAGAGTCAACTGAGAATCCCAACTCTAGCATTAGCTTTTCCAAGCGATTCACATTTGTCAAATACAGATAACCAACCTAGTTCAATGTCTGTGTCAGAGAACAGGCTGGAAACAACTTTCAAATTATAGGAAATAACTTGTTTCAGATTATTCTTATTAAATACTCTGATTTTCGATTACAAACGAACAATAACAGTAGATGGATATGTAGCAACGCACATGCAAGAAGAAATCTCAAAGCATTAATGTGGCAACTAGCCCTTATCCTTAACAGTTGACTGCGCTACATAAATTGTACAAATAAAACAATCATGCTAATATTTCATATAAGCTTTGTTTCAAAGAGTAAGGCTGCAGCCTGGAAATACATGCATAAGCGCTAAAAAAATGATAGCCGTTTCAGTTTGAAATACAAATCTTTAGCATAGAATCATACATTAATGGTCACAATCAAATTTGACTAAAACCAATCACAACAGTCCATATATGATTATATGATTAAGATTTGTTGTTCTCAAAAGAATTACTTTCAGGCTTAAATGTGGTTTTAGTTCTTTTGAAATACCATATTTTCTCATTTGGACTCCCATTTTTAAAAAGTTATAATTCAGTCTTCATAATCATACTTTTTACATTTCCTATACAGTTTCTTTGTTAGTCTTCCATTCACTTGGTTAATTAGAGTTTACATGTCTCAGAGGAATGGAGGACCAAACTTTTACTTCGATCTTTTTGGACCCTCCAAATATCACAGTTCTTCATGTACTCCCTCTTTTCTAAAAGGCTGTTATCCACTCCTTCTATGTCAACTGTAGCGACCAAACTTTAAATTTTTTTAAATGTAGGCCCCAAAATAAAGTATGATATAATATTTTTTGTAGACTGAGAAAATAATGTCAAACATAGGAACCAAATTTAACACTGACAAACAGTAAGAACCAATCTGTAAGCATGTTTCATAAAAGGACTAAAATGAAAGATTTTTCCATGGTGGATTAAAACAAAAAATGTATCCAGAATAGGGAAGATTTTTAATTTTATATATATCTATCTGTGTGTGTGTGTGTTTTAATAGTAATCTCAGCAAATTATCATGTTACAGTTGTCATCACCATTTTAGAGTTAAACATATATATAAAGGAGATTCTCAAGAATCAGATAGCCATTTTGTGCAAGATTTATATCAAAAGAAGAGAAAATTCATAGTTTGAAGGCACTGACTAATGTTTCTAGTGAAGATGCTCTGCTATACACAGCTGTACCAGCACGTTTTTTGGTCTTAGTTTTGCTGGAAACTATGTTTTTTCCCCATCGAAGAACATCCCTGCAATAAAGATCATTAAAAGCCATAGCCAAAACAAAAAACTTAACAGATTTACCAAGATCTGCCAATTCCTATCATGCTGGGAGTGTAATCAATCCTGTATTGAACCAGCACTACATTAGCATAATTGAAAGTCAGTTTCTTTTCCTTCTTTCCTTTTTTGCAATGTTTACTGTCTATTGGCTCCATCATCACAATGGTTCCATCCAATCATCACCATGTACAAACCATGAGACAGACTGAAATGTTAAATCTAGATATAATCTCAAATTAGAACATAAATTTGATCTAAAGCTACCCAAACCAGTTTTTTTTTTTCTTCGTTTTTATTTTTTTACAAAGATCTGAGTTCCAGGACCTCAAGATAGACTTTATAGGAAATAGTAGAATCTGTGAAATGAGTTTTTATGATTCAATAGCAGTATTATTTGGACTCATGCCATTTAAACTAAGGCTCATGGGTGTAGATCCGTCTGGTGACAAACCAGAATATAGCTTTGTACTAAACAAGGATGCAATCCTTTTGTGGAAAATTTCAGTTCTATACCAAAACCAGTACTGAAGTGTCCAAATGACTTCAAGTTTGAAGCATGCCAAAACATTTATAAAGCAATGTGCTAAAACGGCTACAAAAATGAACCAATACGTGTATCGTGGTTTGTTCAATATTTGATGCAATAGTTGTATAAATTAAAGGGATTCCATTAGTAATTGAGATAACAGAATAATTATTTCCATATCAATTAATTTTAAGGGCATTTTATTTTGTAACGGAGGTCTTTATTAACCACCACTGTAATAGAGGAGTCCAGATTCTCTACTGGGATTTTTGGTGCTATCCTCTACTGAGCACTTAAAATACACTGATGTTATAGAGAGACACAGTAGAAAATTCAAATTCGTAACTAACAGAGACACCATTGAGACCTAAAAGTAACACATTCTAACCTCTCCTGATCTGATAAGAAGTTACTTTCAAGAAGTTTCTGCAGCAATGCATCCTGGAATGAAGAATCCATAAACAGTTTAGTATATGCTATAATTCGATTAGAATCACATTTTAATTCATTAGTAACAATCAATAAAATTTGAGGACATCACCGCCCATCTGTAGCAAAAATTAAAACACTTGCAATGACAACTAAGATATGTAATTCTAACAATGAAAAAAACTCATTCAACAAATTCAGCCTTGGGAGAATAGTTTCTGAAGTTTTCAAACCAGAGGAAAAAGTGTTAAGCACATGATTTTATAACAAAAATTTCAGTAGTGTTGACCCATATTATTTAAGAAAACTCTGAAAAACACAGAATTTTTAAGACAAACTAGTTTTAGGAGCATGTGGTTGCTCTTTCTCGTTTTCCTTCTTTGTTTCAAATACTAATATCCAAGAACATATTACAGAAGAAAATTAACTAAAAAGTAACTTACAAGCTTAAAAATTATAGAATTACCAAACAAATTTAACTTTAAAAACAAAGCTCTTATTTTAAGTCTTATGTTTAACTTTAAAGTACTTTCAAGTTATGAAAAAGTTGGGCCAAACGCCACCTTAGTGAACTTCTTATGTTCCCTCCTTGAATTGAACTCTATTATTTTCTGCTACTTAAATCATATCTCATTATCATGGTTCATGATTTACTTCTGGTGATGAAAGGATTTACTTTGTACAGCTTAACACTATGTATGGAGCAAATCCTATATGCATGTAAAGCTATATCAGTATTTGCAGAGAAATCGTGAATAGTACCGAAAATTGAGAAAGGAATAAAGTATAACATTATTCAAAACAGAAAGATCTATATGTCTATAACAGTAGATCAAGCTAGAAAAAGTACATAAATAATTCCTAACCCTCAATTAGGTGAAAATAAAGTCTGACAGATTTATAGATTAGAAAGAAAAAAAAAAGAATAATGGAAAAAATATATGCCCATAAAAGGTACTATTATTCAAGATTTAGCATGTTACTTATCTACTTCCATTGCATATATGATACATAAAGATAAAATAAGCAGTAAGGAAAGAAAATATACTTGAGCCTCACAACGCACAACTGCCATAACCCGAACATTGTATTCTTCAATACTTAGGGGAGGAAACAAAAAGTGCCTACGAGCGTATAGCTGCATGTTCCAAACATAAGAATTGTAAGAATTTCACTGAATAAGATATCTGGAAGTTCTAAAAACATAAGAATGGTAAGAATTTTAATACATAAATCTTATAATATGAACTAGGCAAGTCTATTGACTGTGTTCAATTGCATAGTGGATGGCAATTTATAGTTTCCATCAAAAAAATTAAAATTATAATAGATTTGTAGTCTTATTAAAACACTTGTGCTTGGCAACCAAAATTTTGTGGGTAACAAATTCAATACTTGACCAGATACCGTATTTTTAATGCATAGTATATTTTAATTAACTCTGCATTTCATCAAAGTAGTCAAATTCAAATTTGTCAGGTTTCCCTTTTAGTCCAGAAAGCACATTCAGTCTTAGTTGTTGCCGCTTAACAATACACAAGAAAAATTACTTATAGCCATGGTTTTAAATTGTGGATGTGGTCATTGTTTTATGTTGCAATCCTTGACATTGTGGGAAGCTGCAGGAAAATGCAGTTGATGCAGCTTAATCTGCAATTGTGGACCACAATTTAAAACCTTGCTCTGGCTATTGCATATCATCGATGTTAAACAGTGCTTGCATAACTTAGGCATTAGGCACGACCTCATGGCTAGTACTCAAAAAGACCAACTTCCTTGAGGAAAATGCTCATTTGATCGATAGGGAAATCCAAAAACAGAGTGCTAAAAAACATACCAAGCTCAAACTTCAAGTGGCAAAGCCCATTTGTGTTCTAATAGTGAATCATTAACAGAATTTATTCTTTACTTTTTCAGGCAGTCATAAATATAGTTTTCCAAAAACACAGAGAATGAAATTTGGAGCGAATAAGCTACTAAAGATAAGCACCAAAACAGACCTCGTATATGCAATCGCCGATGTAAGCCAGAGTAGCAGCGTTAAACACAGATCGAGGCTTCACCACTTTTGGTGGAGTTGGCAGCCATTTCTCATATCCCAGATAAGTTTCGTCTTGCTCTTCTTCTACATGAGCTGCAAATATGTATATGATTACTATGAAACATGGAAATTAAAGATAACTGGTAACAGAAAGGAGGAAGAAAGGAGGACAGAAATACCTATAGTGGGGAGAGGAGTCGCGCGCTTGAGAAGATCAGAAATGTATTGGTCCCTCTTCCGAGTAATCGGTGCAGCGGAAGAAGGAGTGGGAGTGGAAACGATGTTCTTCTTAAGCTTTCTGGGAGCGTTGGGGTTGTAAGGGAGTCTCTGTTGCGTGTCCCACGAAGCTCGCACTGCAAATTTCAGGGAAGAAGATAAAGATGACAGAGATAACAGAGTTTCCATGGTGGCACAACTCAAATTCACCTTCAACTCACGCTGTTGATATTTCTACATCGGGGTTTGCTATTGGCACCCCCTTCGCTGTTCAAACCCCCTGGTGTGTGTTAATTTTTTTTTTGTCCATTTGAAGATTTATTTGTTCATAAGGATAAAATGGAGATAAAAATAAGTTTTTATTCAAAATCAGTTTCTGATGGTATAAATAGTATAATGGTATAAATAAACAATACAATATAAAAATATAAAAAATAATTATTATCCATCATTATCAATATTTTATTTAGTAAAAGGATAAAATAATAAAACCTTATCTCATATAAAAATAATAAAATTTTATCGTATGAGTAACAACGTAAATATATTTATTTATTTTTATATATTTTTGTTTTCCAATTTTATTCTACTTTTTAAAATTAAAATAATTATATAATCGGTTTTATTTTTTAAATTATATTTTTAAAATTAAACAATTTTGTATATGATGATTTTTTTAACTTAACAATTTTTAAAATTAAAATAGCTATTTTAAAAAAAAAAATTTATTATAATAATTATTTATATTTACTTTAAATTAATATTTTTTATCATAAAGGCACGTGTTTTCATTAATAAATAATAATAATGATTATTTGGTTTATATTGAAGATATTAAAAAAATTAACAAATAATTTGGAAATAAATATAAGAAAAGTTAGAGACTAGAGAAGAGGAAATAAAAATAGATGAAACATAAGAAATGCTATTTACTTATTTATTTATTTATATAGAAAAAGGAATATAAATATTGGTGATTTAACGACGCCGTAAGAGCCAAATTGATCGATCCTCTTTATTTGTTGGAGTGTGGTTGCTTTGTTGGGTTTTGGTATTGGCGTTCTTTGTTCCATCGCAGAAGACCCTTTCCCCTCTTTTCTTTTCACAAGGTTTTTCTTCTTTCTCTCAATCATCAATTCACTCTATGCATCGATTGAATTTTTCGTTCTTTTTCGTATAATTTATTTAACTGTTCTTTTCTTTCGCCTTTTCCTCGTAATTGTAATATTCGTTTTGATTCTCAGAATATAAAAATGTTTGCAGTTTAATTTGTGACTGTAATTGCAATTTTATCTTCGTCTATCGTTTTAGGTCTTTTGACATGGCATCAAGGCACCGTGTTCACAGAGAACCCTTGAATGGCAGAAGGGGGTATCCGCCGGATGGGCCTTATGCTCGCGGGCCTCCGATGCCGCGGCCCCCGCCTATTCCGCCTCATCCGGCTGTGCTGGAAGAGGAACTTGAGTTTCAGCATGCTGAGATGCGGAGGTTGGTGGCAGACAACAGGAGGTTGATTGATGACCGCATGGCGTTGCAGCGAGACCTTGCGGCCGCGAAGGAGGAGCTTCATCGCATGAATCTCGCAATCGGTGACATTCGCGCTGAGCACGAGGCGCACTCGAGGGAGCTTGTTGAGAAAGGCATGAAAATGGAGGCTGACCTTAGGGCAAATGAGCCCCTGAAGAATGAAGTCATGCAACTGCGGGCTGAAGTTCAGAAACTTAATAATCTGAAACAAGAGCTGACAGGGAAGGTTCAGACACTCACACAAGATGTTGCAAGGTTACAAGCAGATAATCAACAGATTCCTATGATGAGAGCTGAGATGGATGGCCTTCACCAAGAGCTAGTGCGTGCCAGGTGTGTGCTTCAGTTGCTGCCAGGGTTTTCATTCTCTATTGTCAAGCTCTTAGATAGGTATCTCCACATATGTTGCTTAAACTAATAATTGTTTCATTTTTTGTTTCACAGAACCATGGTGGATTATGAAAAGAAGGCAAACATAGAGTTCATGGAACAGAGGCAGTCCATGGAAAAAAATTTGGTTTCCATGGCCCGGGAAGTTGAGAAATTACGTGCTGAGCTTGCTAGTTCTGATGGAAGACATTGGGGTGCTGGTATGTCAGGTATGACATTTCAAAAATATTTATAATTTTTTTAATCATTTACATGTATATATTGTAAAATATATAACAGACACACATCAGAGTAGTGTCCATCCAGCCATGCTATTGCCCACTATAACATTATTGGGGTTGGCCACTGCATGTTGCTATCTAGGATTGATAAATGTGATAGACCACCAATCTTGAAGTGTCTATGCATCATGGCTGAAAGCTGATTTCATTAATCATTTAAAAGCTAGCCTGAATCACATAGTTCCAGTTTGCACATATATTATCGTCGTTCTTTTTTTCATATTATTTTTCATGTTTGCTTCATTTCTGAAGGTGGGCAATATGGAACAAAATTTGGTAGCCCAGAGGGTTTTCCAGCTCCGTATGCAGATGGATATGGCGTTCACTTGGTATGTGCTTTCCTTAATGATTTTAGATTAAGCACTCTTTAATTTGCAGATGGGTATGGTGTTCACTTTTAATGTGATGATGTCTAGGGTTCTGCAGAGAAAGGTCCTCTGTATGGGGCGAGTGCTGCTACAAGAAAGGGACATGAGAAGCCTCGCATGAATCGACGTTGAAATTCAAGTAATTACTGTTGATGATGAAGAAAGGCTTGCCATCGAATTGCCTTTTCTGTTAGCTGGATGGCGGAGATTGAGTTTGATGTCCTACTGTGTATGCATGCAACACCAATGGTCATTTTATCTGGAACTCTGGATATATTTAATCCTAAACTGGCATGTGTAGGTTTTAGTGTTGGTTTTCTTTTTCTTAGAAAAAAACATTACTGCAGTATCTCTATGTTTAAAATTCAATATGACGGATTTCTTCCCTTTATCTATTTTCCATTGATACATATTTCTTGTTTCAATTATGTTTTTGGTTGCTATTGTTAATAGTATTTCTCATTTCTTATTCTGGGTAAAAATATATTTTTGTGTTGACCATGAGCTGGAATGAAGCAGTGTAAGGTTGAGATTTTCTATATCTCTTGTGATGGATAATGTGGGCTGAAGTTAAAAATGAGGGGTTTGTCAAGCTAGAATTATTAGAAGACTCTTTCATTATTTATTTCTGCTTTCAATTGTTTACCTTGTGCTCCTTGTTGAAATCTGGGCAATGTTTTGAATGAATGCTGTCGCTGTGTGCATCTCATGTCAAGGATTATGGATTTGTGATTTTGGAATTAGTCCTGTTACTTTGGCAGAGGACACTGATTGAATGCAGAGGAAATTGGAGAATAAATTATGTTAGGCTATATGGTTTACTCAAGTTCAAAAGATGAGAACTTGCTCTTATTCTGTGATTATAGTACGCTTTTGTTAGGATTAAGCGATAGATCTAAAAGTTTGTAACTATTTGTAAGATTGGATGAACCTTCCTGAGGTGCCGGAGATGGTGGTGGCAAGGTGGATTACATTTAGCTGTAAAAAGTGTACTGCTAGCAACTGGTAATTTGGTATCCTCATATTATTGGGATATACATCTGGGAATTGCTTGTGTTGCAAATAACTGAGGTGTATATAGGATGCCTTTTTCTTGGAGATGAAGTTGCAAGCTGGTGAACTTTATTTTGTTTCTTTTCCTGGAAAAGTTGCTTGTGTTGAAGGGGGTTGTGCTCACATTTGGAGGCGATTTATGCACCTGCACATAATATTATGTTTCGGAGTATTGAAGCATTTTTAATTCCTGATTTTCTTTCTTTGCCAAGTTTCTGGTCATAACTACTACTTTTTGCTGGCATGGAGGGGAACTGGTGAAATGTGTTGGTTTTGTCATAGATGGTATTAATGATGAATGATGAGACATTTGCATTATAAGGCTGTAACAGTATTGCAGGAACATGTGTTTTCCTCTTCAGATAATTTGGCATTCGGTTATGTTTGTTGATTTGAGGAAAACTACTAATACAACAGATGTGGATGGAGATACATATATAGAAATATGTTGTAATTCTGTTTAGTCTTTCTTTAGAAAACCTGAATTGTTCGCTTAGACCTTTTGGAATTTGACAAGTTTTACCTTGACTGTCGAGGGTTTACCACAACCCTTCTCCTTTATCCAGAATTGGGAATGTCTGAGACTTATTGGTAGGATATGACTTTTGTTGTGAATTGTTCAGTTAGACCCTGGGTGTTTTAAGTTGCAAATACTATATGGAAGTTGATATCGATTACAAGGTATTATTGTACATGAGAATCTGAGTTCATGGTGGTGTCACATTTGCTCAGCAAGAGAGTAGTGCTATAGTGTTTGTATTGTTCTTGCAAACTATTTATTTGAAGTGGACCAGAAATTGGTTGATGAAGGTAAGAGAGATGCTAATAGTTAGTTTACAAATTTGTCTAGGTTTAGGATTTAAGAACGATGGTATCCAATTTATCCGATCTTAAATATTGAAATTTTGAAAGAGAAAGAAATTGCTATCTCATACCATCACAAAGTTTCTTGTTCTTTATACCAAGTTGAGGTGCTGAAATCTCTTTGGTCAAGGTCCCCCACAATATGAAAGCTTCTCGTATTCACCATGGAATATCAGAAGAAAAGGCTTCGAGCCTGCAGTATGTGTGAAGGCCAGCTGTTGATCAGAAAGCTCATAGGCAAGTATTCTGCTTCTCTTTATCGGTCTAAATGATGTAACAAATCTAGAACATGCTATTTGTTACCCTGCTGCTTACAATCATGTAAGCTTTAGTATGCTGCTTAATATGAAACTTAATTGTTGCACACCTGAATTAGAGCATAGTAGGGTCAGATCATTTCAGATTTTGTTTGTAGTGATGCCATCTAGCCAGAAGTTTGAATATTAATGATCAAGAATTTAAAACTTAATTCTATATTAGTGTAATGATTTAATGCAATGCTAGCTGCCAATGTATCCTATTTAAAGTGTTAAGAACTTAGCTGCATGCCTGGAGCAGTCTGAAGTTGCACGGTGGAAAATTTTCTATATGTAATGCTCCTATAGATCTTGATTTTTCTTAGACTGCTAATACAAGCAAAAAGGAACATTCAATATTGTTAACTCCTTTTGGATATCCAGACCACCCAGTTAAGTTGGGGCACATTATTGCTAAAGTTCAGAGTTTGCAGCTTATAGATTGCATTTATTTCCAGTGGCTGGTTGGGCATACTGGTTGCCATTGCTACTTTTCTCTGTTAGAGATTCGCATATGTATGTAGCAGAATTTGGAATTTTCAAGACTACCTAGTTAAAGGGCAATAAGGTTCAACTAGTTTATTTTAGGTTATATTTTAGTTATTATTGCTGACTTGAACACGATATTACGATTTGGAATTTGCAGTCTCTGGAATAAGCTTGACTGAAGGAGACAAGATGAACTGTCAGCTTCCTTAGTGAGATAAGTAGATAGGATTAATCAACTTCCACCTAGATAAATAAATAGCGGCATTCATTTCATTATAGGTAGTGCTTCAGTAATTGGCCTCGGGAATCTTTGGAGGTTTCTGTTACATTTTCTCAGAGCAAAGGATGCTAGTAGTCTTGTGACTAAATTCTCTTGAGATTTGTTCGATTGTCATACATAATGATTACTTTTTTTTGTTCTGATACTTCTATTTCTATATAACATAGCTGGGTTCTTTCACTTGTGTTTTGTTATACTTCTCGTATATTTTCACCTACTGCTACTGAACTTTGTATGCATATTTAAGTTTCTTGTCATTTATTTCATCCTAATCTTTTATTTATGTGGTTGCAGATGAAAAGCTGGGAATCTTGTTTGGGACGGAGAAGTTGAGACAGCCCCATGCATATTTGTTTCGAAGAACACCATTAGGTTCTTTGTTATTTCAAAATGCGAAATCTGTTGAAGTTTTATCTGGAACAAAGAACCATTTGTCACTGGTGGATGGGTGTATTTTTCCTGGTCGTGATGGATTGAGATAATGGTACTAACACGACTTTGTTGGGTTGGATCATCGTATTATGAGATTGGAAATGAAAGCATTGGTGGTAAGCATGGATGGTTTCGGTCAAATTTACAAATGTTAGTTTGCTAGATGGATCATGAGTCCATGCTTAAGACGATGCTTACTATGTTTTAGGGATGCCTCTTTTACACACTTTTTTTTTTTATGTTCTCATGATTTTGCATTAAAAGACATTCATGTTGCAATGTGTAGAATAGTTTCAATGCGAACCTACTACACATTGCGGACGACCCGGGATCATCATTGATCAAAGCCTTAGGTTCTCATCTTCTGATCAAAGCTAGTCAACAGAGGTTGAGAGGCTATTTATGGTTGATTGTAATGCACTTGCTTGTGATCGTGCGATTGCGGTTTGGTTGTCATTGAACTAGGTAGCCGTTACTTATTAGGGTTTTTATTATTTTAAGGTTTATAAAAGTGGTGGCTAAATTGCTTTCTTTCTATTATTGTGTATTTGTGCAACTAATTCATTAATTTCATATATTGTTTTCTCACCCCTTTTCAGCTGAAGAATATTTGGTATTCTCGTTGAATTTTACATGCACAGATGCACCAACATTGGACCGTCTCCGATTTGCAATGGCGAATCTTAATTGGAGCAGTTTTATTTTGCACAAACCATATTTCGCTCATATTCTACTGCATATTTAAATGGAGAACTTAATGAACAGGGTTCTAATAACTTTCTTTTTAAAATCAGATATGGTTTTGATATTTTCAAGGATCAACATGTCATTTAGCATTTAAGTTGTTTACGATAAAATGAAATTGGGTAATCGAGACAGCATCATACTTGGAATAAACGTATCTGTAATTGTTTATTTATTTCAGGCTTTGTTCGTTACGTTTTATTCACTCGTTTCTCGTAATATTTATTTTTTTTTGAAAAAAAAAACGATTTTGAAACATTCGATTTCGAATGAACATGATTTTGAAAAGAAATAAGAAAAATATTTCTTATTATAGCATTTTTAGAAGTGCCAGGTGTACAAATATAATAATAGATCTTCGATAAACCTCAGTAGTTGATACCTAAGATATTTTCAAAAAACTATATCAAATTAAAGTGCTTATATATACTATTCAAGTATAAATTAACATCTATTATAATTTTTATCTTATAAAACAGAAATAAGGTAATCTTTTATGTTGATTATATGTTTACATCATTTTCTAAAAATTTTATACAGTTCGTTATATTATATATCTTATGATGTTAAAAAGATGAATTTAATACATATTCAACTAAAAATGAATCACTTAATGAACTAAAGTTTTTATAAAGTGACTTACAGTCACTTCTAAGAAAAAAGCTTGAAGTCAGATCCTAAATAAATGAGTTATGGTGAGATTTTTATTTTAATTCTAACTGTTAAAAATTCAGTCTCACTACATTGTTTACGAAAAACCTCAATAAAAAAAAATACCTTGATAAAAAAATCCTTCATAGATATCTAACAGTGAGATCTAGTTAGAATTTCTTAAATAGTAAGATTTTAACTTTAAAATAATGTTAAAGTAAGATTTTGATCTTTTGATATAGTTATGTTTCAAGGATATTATTGCTTTTCGCCTTTAAAATTATTAGCAACCCACTTTAACAAATTGTTTCTAACATATATTCTATATATAAGTTAAAAGATGTTGTAAATTATACTTTAGAAAAAGGCACATCATTAAATATTTGAAAGTTTTAAAAAAAATTATAATTTTTGATAAATTTCAGCTATTAGTATGATTTGTCAATATAGTAAATGTTAATAGATAGTATATTTATAAAAGAAACGTGTTAGAAAAATATGTTTTTAACATTTATTTTATTATTTTTGGTGCAAGATCTAACTTACACGACCCTTTGATTCATAGTGTAGCTCATGAAATTTTGAAATGAATAAAATACATCAATGATGAGGAAAAATCTCTCTTTTCAATTATTACTGTGTGGAGACTTCATGTTTTAAGTAAATTGGCAACATGGTAGATAATTAAGAATGATAAGATTTGAAACCACTAATACTGAAATTTGATACCATCTTTTTATCAGCAAATGCCATGCAAAAATCCTATGTAACAATATATGTGTTCTTAAAATTGAATCCAATTATAATTGAAAATTGATTTATAAAACGGTTAATCAATTAAAACTGACTACTTTATTTATTTTTTGTTTGGATCTAATTGTTTTGGTTTGATATCAAGAACTGAAAAACAACTTATTTTTTCGAAATGGAATATGATATATTTTAAAATAATTAATAAGTAACAAACATATACAATTTCATATGATTGGTTTACTGTTTAATTAAATTATATTTTCAACATATTTAGCTTTATAATAAAAAAAAAGAACAGATCAAAATACAAAATATCGTTAAAAGATTAAATAGACAAAATTAACTTTTTCTTTATTCTTACATGAATTTTTCATATTCACTCTATTATAAACTAATTTTATTCGTATTATTATAATTGCGATAAACCAACAATTTTTTGGAGTAAAAAAACAACTTATTTAAATAAACATTAGGGTTAATGGTATGAAAAAAGTTATCACCTAATAGAAACTATTAAATTAGATAAACAGTACAACACTACACCATGAAATTGACTTCAGCTTCTTCATTCAACAGAATTATCCCTTGAATGCAGGAACCCGTTTTCAGTTTCACAAAGAATCCTGAATCAACGCAGATCCTAAACTGCTGTGTTGAAATGGCATAGCAAAGTTATTATACAAGTTAAATAATCATCATTAACGGAGGAACTAATCTATGTTACCTTTTTCTATTGTTTCATCTTTCTCTTTTTCCTTTTATCACTTTGATCATGTTGTAAAACCAATTTATAATATATAAATAAGTATAAATCTTATCTTATATACTTAATTTATAAAATTGAATTAATTTAAAGTCTAATTCTTTATTAATCACTTTCTGAGTTTGAGATAATTAATTTTCTTAATTGCTACCAAACAGTGGTACTAATCAAAACCTTCGGAAAATATGAGAGAAGAAAAGGAAACAGATACTAATGACAGTGACAGTGATGCTGATATGATAACACATTTGCCAGACCACATTTTGGACAACATCCTTCTCTTCTTACCAACTGCTGATGCTTAATATCATTAGACAGGTAGCAATCTGGAAATAAAAATTCTACTTCTCCAAAATGGTTACACATTACAAAGTAAAGCAGGATGTCCTAATTATTGATTAGTAAAATGGTTAAAGGGTGAGCATTTTCACAGACAACTTAAATTATGGTGACACACTTTCTTCTTTTGACATGTATAAAGCCTCCACTTTCTTCTTCTCTAATCACTTATTTACATGAATTAGTTTTGCCGACTGAGAAATGCCAGTGATTTGTCAATATTGTTATGAAAACTAAACTCCAGAGTTGATGTAATTGTTTGTTGCTTGCTTCTATTAATACTTACAGCAGAAAAGTCTCAAGATGACTTACATACAGATTTGGAAATCACGAAATAGAAAATATAGTCCAATGTCCATTTATGCTGACAGCTATTGGAACAAGGTTATTATATTCCCTGTCTGGTGCAACACATTTTAGTGTTAACTGTGCATAAAATATTTAGATACATAGCGAAGTTAAACATTCCTTACAACTTTTATTGTCAACAGCTTTCAGCTTCCTATGTATAAATAGGAACACTTATTTCAGTGTGAAAAAGATAAGCAAAAGAATGGTCTCTCTAGTCTGTGTCCGTGTGACAGTTGTATGGTTAACTTAAGTGGTGAAGACAGGGTTTAAGAATTTTGATCTCTGCCCCCTCACAGGAGATTTTGTATCAGGAAAATGATCACCGCCATCATCTGGGTCCTCCACATACCCTTCTTGAGTTATTTTCACAGGGTACCTTACAAGGTGCACACCTTCCATGTCTACAATTTCTTCACTGCTGTACATTTCCCACATATGATCCCCTATTGACCTCATTCTCTGCACACATGCCAAACTTTCTGGCTCTAAGAACAGTTCCTCAGCACTTCCCGTGTGCTCATACCACAGTGACATTCTGTATGCATGAATATCACCACGGTTTACGTGGTGATCAACTCCATCTTGAAACTGGTATGCCCCAATGGCAATCTCAGTGTCCCTTTCTCCATCCATGGATCGTTGGTTCACATTGGCTGATCCTATTAATATGTATATGTCGTCCACTGGTGCCAGAAGCAACAAAAGAAAATGTTAGATAACCCACACCACAGTCTGTGCCACAATTCTACATAGTGCTATTCGATTTTTCTGATTAAAGTATAAGTTATTTGAACAAATTCACTTGCACTGCACTGTTCTATTGGTTATTACTGAAATAAAATGATTATAACAGTTGTTTTTCTGGCAAAGTAGTGGGAAAAAAGCTGATTGGAGAGTGGTACAATCATACCTATCATCACCTTTGAATGAACATAAATCGGGAACCTTCTGTTCTTCTGTGCATTCCAGTATTGTGTTGCAGGATGGGGAGAAAGTGGAGGAAGAAACTCCTCCTTTTCCTTCTTTTCCCTGTTTGCAAGGCAGAAGAAATTCAAGTAGTCTCTTGGATGCCCTGGCTCCCCACTTTCTGTTATTGCTTCTCCAATCAACCAATACATCATTGTCATTGTTTCTCTGGTCCAGTGAAGTATATCTTGAACTGGTTCACTTTCAGGCACTCCTTCTGGCCACATTGGTATGACTATGTACACTGCAAACCTCTCTCTTGCTTTGATCTTACTAACCACCTTCAGTGCAATCTCAACAGGAATCAGATTGCTGCATCCACTGTGCCTATCTTCTTGCCACAAGTGACACCCTCCAACAAAATACTGGTTTTCAATGTATACAAACCTATCAGCACGCCTAATAGCTTCAACATAAGCTTCGTGGATGCTTCTCTCCACAGTTAGCCTTCTAAACAACTGGCTAGCAGATACATGGTCAATTGACCTGTATACTTGGACTTTCCAATTCCTTTCTGTTGGAGTGCTCGAGTATGTGGGAATGAGATTTTGTAGAGTGTTGGCAGGAACTAGAAGAGAAGGATCGCACTGCTTTGTCCATCTTTGCTCAAAATTGGTTAACACATCCCATGCAGCCTCACCAATAACACAAGCATGAGCATCATGCCAAGGCTCTCTTGGTCCTCCTTTATTGAGGCTAGCTTTTGCAATGTTTGTCTGGTAGAAGTCATGGTAATCGGATTCCTCAGCAAGTGTCTGAAACAATGAGTGTTTTTCTGTGTCATAGCGGCCACCACACAAATCTAAACCACCCAAAAAGCTCATAATTTCTCTGGCATGAACAGAGTAGGGTGTTCTGGTGTCCATAGTTATGGTCTTCTGATGGTGAGCAAAGAGTGTGGGGAACTTGTGGTGTAACCTGGGACACTTTCTGCATATTACTTTAGTGTGTTTGAAGTAGGCAAAAGCTTCCTCGTCATGAGTGTTCATCACACCTTTGTTCTTAATCAAAGGCAAAGATGTTTCGTCATCCCAAATCATAACCCTCACAGCCACTCCTTCCTCTGCCTTCTTCTTCAATAGCTCACCCAGATTTATCTCCCTAGCATGAGGGATTTCTGTTTGAGGATCTCTAACCTGCACAAGAACCACACTATAGCTACTCAAAACTAAATTTATACTCCATTAGCTAGAAACATTTACCAGAACAATAAGAAATTGAAATGAGATCATGTTTACCAGAACCATCTTGGGATTGAAAGACCAGCCTGCAATATAAATCAAATATTTTGCACCCTCAATGGCTTTATAGACATCTTCCCATAGCTTTAATGGAGCGCCACAAAGGTCAAAAGGAGGGTGGAAGGTAGATGAATGGTGAGCATCATGATAGAGTTTAACCTCGCAGTTGGACCTTTGTGGGAAAGTAGCATCCCTAAGCCCTTGAAACTCCCCATTGCTTAGTATCTTTCTCCAACTTGGTTCCATTTCTGCTGGCTTGAACCACAACATAAATCTTAACTTCAGTTGTGGATTTGGTTTTCCATTTTCCATGAGAAGAGGGAACAATCCATTGATCAAACTCTCTTCATTCAACCGCTTGGCCTGCATGTGGAATTTTCCCAAAACGAAGCATGATGTCTTCAGTGTAATGGTGATAGTTGAATCTTCTGGATGAGCACACAGAATCTGAAAGGTTTGGTTCCACACACGTTCACGTTCTCGTGTCGTTTTCGCCGCCTTCTGTTTGCCTATCCTGATGGATACATATGCAGGCTTTCCTTTTCTATGTACACACTGAAAAAAAAAACGGAAAATCAACACATGCTATGAGTTTATAGACCAGTGCAGAATTCCCATGACAGCTAACATTAACATATTAATATTAAAGTTATGCAGAGCTTACATTGAAGGGAAAAAAAGGTGAGTAAGGTGTGGCATTGAAGATGGTAGCTTCAATTGTTCCATGGATGAGGAACTTAGACATTTCCTCCATTGATTTAAGCACCAATATGAACTAATGATAGAAAATGAGTAACTGGGGTTTTGACTTTTGAGGGAATGAAGATAAAGTTAAAACTGTTATCAAAGACATATTTCATATATGCATATATATAGAGGTTGTGAGGTTGGTGTTGCAGAGGAAGAAGCAAAGGGAACCTTCGAATGCAATTGAACTGTTAAAGGGCTGCAAGTTAGAGAAAACTTGTGGAATTATGCATAATTAAACGTATAGTCACAGCCAACCGTCACGTCTGTTCTATCCAAAAACACAAGTTTTTGCTTCAAGCTCAAGTTTCTTAAACTCAAATCACAGATTTTCGGCCTGACTCAGACCACTTAAGACTGGTTCAGTATTTCGTATATTCTCCTTACACATACGAGGAATGCTTCAAACATTCTTATCCAACTTTCATGTTAAACAATAAAAGAAAATGTCTCTTTAACAATAGTTTTTTGAGAACCTTTTAACAACCATAGTTTATGATTACTCCGTTTCAAATATACAGTGACACATGATGTTTTTGTCTAAAAAATTATTAAAAGAAAGTTGTTATTTGTCATCCGTAAAATCTTTCACATAGATTTTAATACAGTATTCTTGTTATTTTTTTATCTCTTTATTAATTTTTTATTATTGTGATGACATATTCTAAATTCAATAAAAAAATGTTTTCAAAAAGTCCATGTCATTATACTTTGTTATCATATACAATTTTATAGACCGCACAACTCAAAAAACTTTTATATAATCACTTGAAGAGCCTTACCTTAAGAGTTTTTTTTTTATATCAATTTCTTTTTTTTTTCAGATATTAAAAGTATGTTTTCTAATTTTCTTATACCAAAATATCTATATAATTCATAAAAAGGTTTAAATTAACATGAATATGAAATGACAAAATGAGATCAATTGCTCAAACTTTTTAAAATTTTTTTTTGGCTAAATGAGAGAAAGCAAGCTATATCAAATCATCAAAATTTATATAATCCTAATTTACTACGTAATGGAATTTTTAATATTATCATCAAGATAACTAAATTATATATAAATCTTAAACACATTCCATCGTTGGTTTTTTGGACATTCATGGATACCACTTCATTAGACCAACTTGTATGTACATGATAACTTGTACGAATATTATTCATCGTAGTCTAAGTTTAAGTATTTCCAATATTATTGTTTTGAAAAAAAACTATTTATTATATAAAACTATATAATCATTAAACAATTCTTGCAATTTATATAAAGAGACAAAATATTCCGAGGAAGACTAAAGCAATTAAAGTTCTTTCTTTAACATTAGTAATTTCAAAAAATTATTATTAAATAGTATAATATAATGGTAATTAAGATTTATTTCTTTAGGGAATTAATGCGATGAGATTCTAATCTGATCAAGAAAAAAATATTTTTTATTTTGCAAGACTAGTAATTTTGTTGGTCTTTTATAGACGTTTTATTATGTAGCCATGCATGTAACAACGAATGCTTCAATTTCATACAACCTAATTTTATTATAAAGATCGCGTCCTATATATTAATTTTATTTTAAATATTATGTTCTTCTTTGACACGTACACATAAACCAAAATGCAGATGTTATTTACTAATAAATCTATTAAAAGTGGTTATTGTTTTATTCTCATCAAAGTTGAAGTATCTATCTATTAATCATTATCGTTGTTTCTTTGTCATTGAATAGTTAATCACATGTTTCAACATTTTAATTATAAAAGATGTACAAAATTTTTGTCCTTTAGTTCTTTGTAATTTTTTTATGCTGTTTATAATTCAAATTCTTGCCATCTATTTATTTTATATTACGTGTAATATGTATGATTATTGCATATTTTATATTGCGACTTTATTAACACTAAAACATAAATATCCAAAAACCAATTTAATCATTTAATAAAAGATTTTTCATACGTGAAAGTTTGAAAGATCGATATAAACTTAAAAAAAAATACTACTTGTACAAAAAAAGAAAAAATTGATTATTTCTTAAAAATGTTAGCCAGCTATAGATAGAGGCACATAGCTATATGAATATACAGAAAAAAAGAAGAAGAAAAAAGCTTGAAGTTTGAATAACATAAAGTCTGTTTCTTTAAGCATTGAAGAGGCAAGTCTGAAAAGTTATGTTAGGGTTCTTCTTCATCGTGCTACCATATATTCATCATGTGCTTCGTTATGGAATTAGTTTCACAAATAAAGCAAGCTTCCATGGCCACACAAGCATAAGAACTTGTGCCAACTCTTCTAAATGGCCATGAATGATTATGTGGAAGAAGAGTGCAAGAAACATAGCTTATGATTTCTTGAAAAGAATATATGTATATAAAATACAACAACAAAATTTTGAAGCTATTTTGACATCTGTTTTTAGTTGTTACCGATAATGCAAAGATCCAATTGCCAAATTATACTATATATCATACTCTATTCATCTCGATTCTGCAGTTTTTTCTGTCCTCCACCACTATGTCAATATTTTATTAGATAATGTATTCACTCCATTTACACGTTCATCGTATATGAAAAAATATATATATAATATTATGGATAGGAATTTTATTTCAAACTTTTTATATTTATACCTAAATGGCCGGCACTCTGAATTGATTTTGAGAAACTGAATATCTTGATTATATCATTAAATACATATGTCGAACTAGTAGGGATGATCACTCTATTAGTGATTATTGTATTAAAATGAATTAAATTTTAATATATTGAGATTTGTTGTTAATTCATGTATTGTATCACCGATTGGTTAAGTATTAATCAAATAGTTTACCACAGAAACGTACTAGAATTTGAACCTATCCACTACTCGGTCAGACTTTAAGGATGGTCAAACAATCATAACATTTAAACATTTATCACTAATAATTAAGTTTACAGGTAAAGTGTATTTATCGAGTATTGGACCATAATTAAGTTTTTTACTAATTATAAGTTCATCTCAAAACTTATAAATACAATATAAAGTAGAGAGTTATATGATTGTATTTATTGTTAGTTTAAGATTTTACTATGATAAATGAATAGTCGTAGTACTGTTTTGATTGTGATCCAACCTCACACACAAAATAATTGAGTTTATTATTTTACTTGCTATCGTATTATTATTAAATTATTTATTAATTTTTAATTTTATATTTAAAATATAAAGTAGAGTGTTATATGATTTTTAATTTCATATTTAAAATATATATCTTATTTGTTAAAATATAAATATAAATTTAAATCTAATTCAATCTTATAAAATTGATATACGTGTTTATTTACATGAAATTATTTTAGTCTAATAATGTGAGATTAATACAATTATTTTAGTTTTTTAAATTGTAATGTATTTTAGCCTTTTCAAACTAATTAAGTTTATAAATAATTTGAACCAAAAAGCTGGTAAAAGCTCTGAGTTGGTATCTGGGCAGCAAAGCAAAGGAGGGAAAAAGGTTAGATGATAGATCATATTCATTGATGAATTATGAAGAATTGATCATTGAAGGAAAAGAAAAAGGAAGAAAAAAGGTTGTGTTTGACGAACTCTCTTCCTTTTCTGGAAGAAAAAGGAAAGTTATGTTTGGGAATCTTCTTCTCGTGGGGACCGTTTGAACACGTGGCTCTTGATGATTGGTTCTTTGCCGTCCCTACAACGTTGGTTCGGCTCAATGTAATGTGGTCTGGTCTCTCATCCATACAAGCCATATGTCCCTTCTTTTGGTGTCCAATGCTTTAAGTTACACATTAAATTATATGTAAAGCTCATTCCCAGTTCATTCGTAAAGTCGGAAATTTTAATATATTGTTTGAATTAATAATGAAATAAAGAGGAAATATCGGAAAATGATAAAGATGGTAGAAATAGATGAATGTTATAAGTGTTTAAAAGAAGAAATTGTTTAATTAGTGAATTGTTAGACTTAAAATAGAAGCTGTATTTATTATTATATAAATTAAAGTGTGTAATAACAACACTGACCAATCATTCCTCTGCCTAATATCTCTCTATCGAAATATATTTAATTTATGGGTAGCATCGTTTCCCTTCTACTACATAAAAAATTAACATAAATATATTGTAAGTTAAATATTCACGGAATAGGATTAGGTCGAGTGGAAAAAAGTATTTCTTTTATCATAAAAGTCAAATAACTAGAGGTATAGACACGTCTCATTAGATAGCAATAGCAATATAAATATAAATATATAATGCATGTCCAACTATTTCATGTCGTAATTATATTTGTTAACATCTATATCACAATTCTATCACAGTCCAAATATTTACAAGGATAACTTAATTTATGCATAAATATACATGATTGGTTAATTTACGTAACATTTTAAAGTATACTAAATATTAGTTAAAAAAATATCATATTCATAAAAAAAACATATTTTAAACACAAAAGTATTTTAATAATTTTTATTTTTAATTTAAAATAAAAATTAAAAAATAAAAAATAAATAAAAAATTATTTAATATCTTTAACAATATTTTTATCAACCAGTACATTTTTATCTTTAACCCACATATATATATATATATATATATATATATATATATATATATATATATATATATATATATAACTTCAGAATTTAATTAGAAAATTGTTACTCAACAACAATTGTAATACCGTTACTTAAATAAAATTCATACACAAAAATGTCATGTACCAATAATCAATCAAGTTTTTAAAGCTAAAAGTAACATACCTAATGGTTAGTGCAGAATAAGAGTATAACGACAAAATATTATGTTGATTATAGAAAAAATAATATAATAAATTAAAGACTTAAATGCTTAATTAGTTCCTACTTAAATGCTTATTTAGTCCCTATGTTCATGGTAATTTTCAGTTTAGTACCTAGTTTTAAAAGTGTAGACATTGGGTCTTAAAGTTTTTAAAATTGTATGAATTGAGTCTCATCAATTTAGTGGAAGGAAACAGAGTTAACTCCCAGCTTATGTGACAAAAGAATCTACATTTTTTTTTTCTCTGTCCTCTGCTTTTCCTGCAATGTCTCAGCTTTTTTTCTTTTTTTATATATTTATTAAATACTTTTTCTGCAAAACCTACTTCCATTATCAACTTAGAAAGCATCCCCATGCCATTGCGAACAAATAAGTTAATCACCCAACACACACTTTCTCAGTTTTTATATTTTCAGGGCTAGCTAAATTAGCAGGTTTTTCATATTTGACAAGTTCAGGTGTTTTATCATCAACATTCAGGTTTAATCGAGATAGACTTCTCAGCATTTGGTTAGAGCTGCGGTTGAGACAAAGCGTCCTAGAAACAAGAGATTCATAATTTCCAATAAAAGATGAAGCATAATGGTCATTTTTAGGATCAATGGCCTGGGTGCAATGCTCAATCTTTATACTCCTTGAGGTCTTCAACAAGTAAAAGAGACTTTGAGATCAATCTTGGTGATGTGTCTGCAATACTGTAAGGCCTACAAGATCCATTCATTACAGTTGGCAAGCTTGATTCAGGTTCCGGCCGAATCTGAGGCTTCAATTGAAAAGAATTTTATAGTGTAAAATTAGACATCGTCTTTTCTTATTTTATTAAAAACAAAATCCTCCAAAGAGAAGAATTCAAATAAAACTCTGAAAGTGAAATCTTCAAATAAAACAAAGAACACCAGTTTGTTCCTCTCAGTCTCCACAAAACCCTCGGTGATATCCTCCTTCGACGACGACGTCCCCGCCTCCACCGGCACGAATCGCGCCGTCATAACAGGCTTTGGCGGTTTCGCTAGCTGTTGTCGTCGACGCCAGAGGCATAGCAGCAACAGCAGCAACACCGCGACGAGAACAGACCCAACAACGATTGCAACAATGGCGCCCGTGGAGAGATTCTTGGACTTCTTACACGTCGTAGTCGGGGTCGAATTGAAGGAGGGAGACGGCGCTGGAGCCGAGAAGAAGGGGTTGCAAGCCTTCAACGGCGGGCCACAGAGATCTATGTTTCCTGCGGGCCGTTGTGTTCCAAGAAGAAGCCGATGAGGTGGGTTAAGTTGTTGACGAAGAAAGGGATTTGACCGGTGAAGTTGTGAAGTTGTTGGAGGAGAGATCCAAGCGAGTGAGATGAGCGAGGCGAGTGAGACTTGGAGGAAACTCACCCTAGAAGTGGTTATTATGGAAGTAGAGGTTGCGGACGAAAGAGAGAGAAAAAAAATATTTAATAAAAATATAGAAAGAGAGAAAAAAACTGGCATTTCACGAAAAGCAGAGAAAAGAGAAGAAAAAATGAAGATTCCTTGGCCACATCATATGGGAGTTAACTCCCTTTCTACCTATTTAACGGAAGGAACTCGATTCTTACAATTTTGATAACTTTAGGACTCATTATCTACACTTTTAAAACTGGTACTGAAATTACCACTAAAAATTAGCACTGAACATGTATGGCATGTTCATAGATATCCAATAAAATATTATATCAATTCTTGTGTTTAATGGATATAATAATCTTTTTAAAAATATAAAATATAGATATAAAACATATTTATATGTTATTATAATAGAAAAATAAGATATTATATCGATTATTGGGTAGAACCGATAGTGTAACATTTTATTCATTTTGGCTCTTTTCTTTAATTTCATTTTTATTTAAATGAGAAAGTCTCGCTTGAATGAAAATAAATTAGAATTAAAATATCATGTAANCTTCAATTGAAAAGAATTTTATAGTGTAAAATTAGACATCGTCTTTTCTTATTTTATTAAAAACAAAATCCTCCAAAGAGAAGAATTCAAATAAAACTCTGAAAGTGAAATCTTCAAATAAAACAAAGAACACCAGTTTGTTCCTCTCAGTCTCCACAAAACCCTCGGTGATATCCTCCTTCGACGACGACGTCCCCGCCTCCACCGGCACGAATCGCGCCGTCATAACAGGCTTTGGCGGTTTCGCTAGCTGTTGTCGTCGACGCCAGAGGCATAGCAGCAACAGCAGCAACACCGCGACGAGAACAGACCCAACAACGATTGCAACAATGGCGCCCGTGGAGAGATTCTTGGACTTCTTACACGTCGTAGTCGGGGTCGAATTGAAGGAGGGAGACGGCGCTGGAGCCGAGAAGAAGGGGTTGCAAGCCTTCAACGGCGGGCCACAGAGATCTATGTTTCCTGCGGGCCGTTGTGTTCCAAGAAGAAGCCGATGAGGTGGGTTAAGTTGTTGACGAAGAAAGGGATTTGACCGGTGAAGTTGTGAAGTTGTTGGAGGAGAGATCCAAGCGAGTGAGATGAGCGAGGCGAGTGAGACTTGGAGGAAACTCACCCTAGAAGTGGTTATTATGGAAGTAGAGGTTGCGGACGAAAGAGAGAGAAAAAAAATATTTAATAAAAATATAGAAAGAGAGAAAAAAACTGGCATTTCACGAAAAGCAGAGAAAAGAGAAGAAAAAATGAAGATTCCTTGGCCACATCATATGGGAGTTAACTCCCTTTCTACCTATTTAACGGAAGGAACTCGATTCTTACAATTTTGATAACTTTAGGACTCATTATCTACACTTTTAAAACTGGTACTGAAATTACCACTAAAAATTAGCACTGAACATGTATGGCATGTTCATAGATATCCAATAAAATATTATATCAATTCTTGTGTTTAATGGATATAATAATCTTTTTAAAAATATAAAATATAGATATAAAACATATTTATATGTTATTATAATAGAAAAATAAGATATTATATCGATTATTGGGTAGAACCGATAGTGTAACATTTTATTCATTTTGGCTCTTTTCTTTAATTTCATTTTTATTTAAATGAGAAAGTCTCGCTTGAATGAAAATAAATTAGAATTAAAATATCATGTAACATATAAAGCACTTTTAAAATCATAAAAAACAGTTTCAACATTTTTCATAATACTTAAATACATCCACATTTATGACTATATAACATGTTCCTATTCTTTTAACTTTTAAAAAGATCTTTCCAAACATAACATAACATTTAATTATACTTGAACACTCAAGTTATGACATAATTTAACTTAATACATATTTCACTTTAACAAAAACTAAATTTACTCTTTTAACTTAACTCTATCTAAAATAAACATCATCTTTCCATGTTAAATGCATAAATATTCCATCAAACTAATAATCTTAAAATAACAATTTCACATAATAAAATAATTTACAAAATGTGTGAATATAACTAATATGTCAAAATTTATAATAATACATAATATTGTCTTATTTGAAAATCATTCATAAAAATGTCATCAACTTCCTAGACGAAGAGTACACAATATCTAAAAATAGCCAAATAAAATCAAACTTTAATTAATAGATAAACTAGTTAAAAGAGAAAAAAAAACATTTTCTCTACCGAACAAATCAATATTGAGTTTAAATATAAAAGAAAATGAAAGACTTTTAGAGCACAAAGATACTTAGTAAGACAAAACAACTACAGAGTAAAATATGATATTAATAGATGTGGTAATTAGAGTGAAAAACTTGGGAAAATAATGAGAAAAAGTACTAGAGAAATCAAACTTATTAACTTTTTTATGGATAAAAAAAGAAAAAAAAAACATATATTAATAGTGTATCAAAATTAAATATATATTTTCAAACACATTAATATAATAAAACTTTTTATATACTTATATTCAGTCGATCAAACACTTGTTTACATCAGACCACAAATACTTATATTCACTTGACCCAAACACCTGTTTACACGTCACTACAAGACTTAAACAAAGTATATATTTAGGCTTAAACGAACTTTTATCTTTGAAAATATTCATACTTTTTTTTAGTTCAATTCTGAAAATGTGACTTACTTTTAATCTTTATATTTAAAAAAAAAATAGAGTTTAGTCCTTCATCCCAAACTAAAACCATGTGATTTTAAAATGGGTCATTAAATTTAATTATTAATTCTTTAATCACTTATTTAAATTGTATGTTTTTTAAATATACACACTCAATATTTATTGTGTGCGAACATATAGTGAGAATATAGTTGTTTTATAATCACTATCTTAAAATCAGACTTAACATTTAATTAATTGTGAGTGTGATAGTTTTACACCAAAAGTAAGAAAAAAAAATATAAGTTTTTTCTTTCTATTCCTCCCGTGATAAATAGTTAAATAGAATTTGAGTTTCTTAGAGAATTTGTGCATGAAATCTAATGCAGAAAATATAGGCTTTATTTGTATTACTCAGCTTATTTATTATTGTCATTATTTGACTTTAGATTTATATCTATAATTAAATTTGAAAATGAAATAAAAATCCAATTGAAAAGTAAAACTAAGAAAGAAATTTGTATGATTTTGAATTGCATGTGTGAGAGAAGGTGCCCCAGTAAGGAAGACAAACCCTCAGGCACGTTATAATTAAAATAATGCATTAATTTATAAGAATAATAGTAATAATAATAAAAAATAAAAAATATTTTATTGGCGTCTTTATTAATGATTGTTTTGCAAGACTGTTTATCTTTGTTCGTGAAAAACCAAGGAAGGAAGGAAAGAAAGAAAGGAAGAAAGAAGTGTTTCGGCAACGATGACTAACTACGGCACAATCCCAACTTCCTCTTCACCTTCCACCAATCTCGAGTTCATCTCACGCGCCAAGCAGCGGGTCAAGGAGGGTCTCGCCACGCGCCGTCCATGGAAGATCATGTTCAACTTCCGGTCCTTCGCCCTTCCGGCCGGTTTCTCCGACGCCGTGAGGCGCGTGCGGGAGAACGTCGGCTACTTCCAGATGAACTACGCCATCGTGGTGCTCATCGTGCTCTTCCTCAGTCTCCTCTGGCATCCAATATCGCTGATCGTGTTCGTGGTGCTCCTGGCGGCGTGGGTCTTCCTATACTTTCTCCGCGACGAGCCGCTCGTCGTCTTCGGCCGGATGATCAGCGACCGCGTCGTGCTCGTCGTCATGGCGGTGCTGACCATCGCCATCCTCCTCCTTACCGGCGCTGTCTCCAACATCCTACTGGCGCTCCTCATCGGAGTCGTCTTGGTGGTGGCGCACGCCGCCTTCAGGAGAACCGATGATTTGTTCTACGACGAAGAAGAGGCGACTGCTCGCTTCGTTCCTCCTGCTCCTCATCCCGGTGCTCCTCTTTCTTGATCCCCAATCTTCTCCTTCCGTTTCGTGTTTTTCTTTTCTCTGAATTTTTTTATTTCGTCAATTCAGTAAATAATTTTAGGTTCCGTTCAGCTTCTTCCTTCTCTTTCAGTTTTATGCTTTATTTTTTGTTGCCATTTTTGAATGGGAAGTTTGGAATTTGTGAGGCTAAAGATGTTGAGTGCTATGGATGAACTGAAATTCATTGCTTACGTTTAATTTAGTTTAATGTAAATTTTATCCCTTTGTTTTTCTGTGATATGATATCTCATTCTTGTTTCTGTGGAAAGAAGGTTAGTTCGTTCTTGAAATTGAGACATAGCAATTGACATGTCAGCAAGAGGAGCAATCATAAAGTTGCTATTTTTTTATGCATTTGGGTTACCCAGTTGACAAGTTGGAATCAGTAACCAAATGGCAATAATTTCAGACTTTCTTTGTGTTTTACAATTTATTAACTAAAGTTTTGGGGCATAATAGGTGATTAAATTTGTCTTTCAATCTTTCTTTATATTAAATGCGCGATTCTGTTAATACTTTCTTCAGTCTTAATATTGTAATCGATCTTTTACTCAACATTTTATATATTCAACGAAATAGATTGAACTTTTTGAGTTAGCACGTGTGCCATGTGAGTCTTTTAAATCATGATCATGATATGTAATAAGATAGGAAACCTACATTGTTTGGTACGCGAATACAATATGATTTTCCTTATTCTGTTGTATAATTTAATTTATAGTGTATTATATTTTTCTTTGAAAGAAATTGTATAAAAAAGTAATGGGATAGAATAATTTACTTTTCTTTTACTATTACAAACATTATCATTATTTTTGTTATCACCGTTTTTTTTACATAGTTATCACCACTTTTATTATAGGTGTCACCATTGCTATTAATACTGCTCTCACTATTTTGGTTTACAAATTATGCATCACTAGTGGTCATTTCTATTATGATTAGCATTAATATTATTATTACTTATATCTTTTAATTGACGATATTATTATTATTATTATTATTATTATTATTATTATTAAAAAAACCATTATTTTCATTTTTGTTTGTTTATATCATTATATTTTATCGTATCATACTATATCCTAACCATTAAACAAGACAAAATGTTATTGATATTAGAAAGAGTTAATTACAAAAGAAGATTAGAAGTTTTGTTCAAAATTAAAAACAGCTTATTTAATCTACAATTAATTGCAAGAAATGTATCTTTTGACCTATGTACATTGCATAATAAACATATAACTAAAATTTATAATTTATAGCATATTTTAATAAACAGTAAAATTACTCTTATATTAAATCAAATAGACGGTCGAGAAAATTTATGTTGCAATTAACAAAGATGTCAGTTTGATATAATTTAAGATTGTAATAATCGCAAGTTGAAATTACCTAATTACCCTTGTTTTTCAAGTTGAAAGTTCTTATTCCTAAGGAATAGACAAGAATAAAACATTTTTCACCTTCATACTCAGGAATGAAACTTTCCCATGGTAATTAATACCAAGTTAATTTTCCCGTGGTAAACAAAGAAAATATATTACTTTAAAGAAAACTAAATAGTAACTAAACATGTTTATATTTGAAAATGAAAACTCCTTGTACCAATCAGCAACTTAGATCTATGGCTCCCTTGAAATTGGATCTAGAACAAGCCTTAAATCAGTTATGTTTGTGTCGGTAGCCTTTATGCCAAAGGTAGGAAAGTCTTCATTCTAAAAAGGTAGCCTTAATTTGGTTTGAACCAAAAGTTAGATATTCACAAAAGCATCATAATCAAGCACCTATCTTTCTCTAAACAGTTTTCTTGTCCCGAGGATCACACGATGCGTTAGAAAGAAATGCACCGAAAATATCACTGCAAAATATTTTAGCAACCCATTCCCATAGTTTCTGAAGAAATAAGCATTATGATATGATGCCGGAGACAAATTCAGTGATGAAATAATTCAGGTTGGCAATTTTGGCCTCAAATCCAAGCACCAACACTTGTAATCCGATCTTGACATGGCATAGAGTTGATCTGGAGTGAGGTTGTCAAGTTCCTTGGATCTCCAGCAATCATGCACGCCGACAATCCTGTTACTCGGAGTCGATGTTCCATGGTCTTCTTCCTCTGGATGCATTTGAGCTCGTATTCTCTTGTATAGTCTCATCACAGAAACACAATCTTCATACGGGTCATGAGTGCCGGATTGGATATCATAACTGTAAAGCAAAAACAATAAAAAATTATTGTCATCAGTTAACAATCGTAGTTTAAAGATTAAACAGGTAAGTATTGATCGATGCATCCACACTGCAGTAACTTTGGACATGCTTTAGAAGCTTGTTTCCAAGTACAAGCAGAAAACCAAAACTTTTATTTTCCTTTTAAATTGTGATAAAAACATTTAAAAACTAGTTAAAAATCAATTCGGCTGATTCATTTTAGTGAAATGCATTTTGTCTTGAAAAGAAATATCGTCAAATACATTTCGTTTGGAATAAAAAAGAAAATGAAAATATAATCGTATGTTTTCAAATTTGGATTTTCAAATAAAAATTCATAACAAAACCCATTTGACTAAAATGGAGCTGAATTGACTTAGTTGGTTGTGAAATACGTTTTCAAAAACAAGGTTTTGCTTCATGATGGCTTTTAGTAGGAAGAACAAGCAATTCAGTTTCTCGCATCCCTCCTCAACCACCCACCACCTCCCTAAATGCCACCAATTTACCACTATCGTCACCGTTACAATGTTTTTATTGTCACTGCTACCATAGTCTTTGTTATAACCATAGCAACTAGAGCCATGGCCTTCATTACCAGTCATCACCACTACTTATAACCACCACCACCTCCACCACTATCACCCGTACCTTTGCCAGCGAACAGACCCAGATAGTGGTCATTAATTCAGGATAGGATGTTTGCATATAAAATTTGGTATCGAAATTTGAAGAGTAAAAACCAGAAAAAATTGAAACCAAAAAATAACTAAACTTGATTTAGTTTATAAAATTTTGTATTTGACAATCAAATTGAATACATACTTCAAAATTAGTTTATTCGTAAAAGTGTTGATCACCAATTTCATTTTATTTTAGTATAGAAAGAAGTATCATTCATAGAATCTACAATGATCCTGGGCAAATTGAAATCATAGCCATTGAACAATTGTAATTTGATTTTTAAAATAAAAGGAAAACTATAAGCTGGAAGAAGTTTCAAACAGAAAAAGATTTGAGTTAAAAATTAACTTGCCCAAGATATGTTCGGGTGAGATACTTGAGCGAATGGCTGACCAAGTTTGTCTTCATCAACGGACGGTACTTTGCAGTGTCTCTTCAATGCGACATAAAAGCATAGGCAAAATATGAGTGCTAATAATAATAATTACAAAAATGTGCTCTCGAACAACAAACAGTCCATTCAAGGAGATATTTCCATCAATCTGGCATGATCCAATATAACAATCAAAAAAGGTTCTCAATAGTATAGATCTTTTAAGTCTGGAAACTTGTTTAGGATAATACCCTATATAATAAGAAAAGGAGAAAAACAGAAGAAATTCATGGATTTTTAACAATTGTTTAGTTCATCATCATGATAAGTCCTTAAAGTGGTGATAAGAAAATTAGTGCCAGAATGTGGTCAAGAATAATTCTGCCAAGCAGGATTTAGCATAATTTAAGTTACTCAAGAAGAATCTACCTTAGCATATGATCAGGATAATGCATATTCAAGCAATATAAATCGTGTGCTAAGTCATGCCCCACAAGAAGCCTGGCCTTTCCACCATTTAGTCGAATTTTGCCAAGGTTTTCTCCATTGTATAGTATTTTGCATACCTTTTCTTTAACTTCATTAAGGGGCATGGCATTTCTGAGATGTTCTTCTGTCAACCCAGTTATATCATATCTGAAAATATCAAAATAAAATCAACCCCTACACTCTTTTTCCCTTCTCAAGTTTCATTGAGAATAATGCGATTTTAGGAATGGAAGTGAGTAAGGAAATATGAAGGATAGAAATAAAAGATAAATGTAGTTGAAAATATGTTGTTTGGGTTGATAAAAATAAGAGAAGTGGGGAAATTTGCCTCATTTGTTTAGATGAGTGAAAGAGACAATGAAAAGTAAATAAATTGTATGAAATATCCTTGTACTAATTTAATCCAAAAAAATATATCATCTCTATTATTTTCAACATTAAATTATTTATGATTTATATTTTTTTTTGTTATAAAAACATTAGTTAACTTTTTAAGAAACTCAAACAAAAATGAAAACAGACATCATCTCTCCCATAGGAAAGACTTCCTCGTCCCTATTTCTGCTCCCAAAAAAATAGTGAAACATTGATATTTTTATCCTATCTCCCTCCTTTTCATTTCCTTCTCCCTATCAAACCTAAAACAAGTATTTTGTAAAAGAAAAGAAAACAAAGAAACAAATTAAAAGTACCTGTAATTAGTAACAGGCAATTGAGGTTTTACATACGTATGAAAGATTAAGTTCTCATCTTGATCAACCAAACATACTCTTGCACAAAGTTCCAGAGAACCATCACTTCCACCACCAACCATTTCACAGTCTATTGCAACTGTTCCTCCAGGGCCCCTGCCAGCATGGTTTTCATCGGAAGAATCTTGACATTCAAAATGGGAATCTATATAGGTCAGTTCTTTAGTTCCCTGCAACAGTTCCAGACACAACAATGTATACAATAAACACCGAATGTAAGCAGGTTTCTTTGATTACTCGGGGTGAACAGTACACATAAGAAACCTATTTATTTTATAAATGCTCAAGGTTATCAATTATCAACTTACAAGACGAGTAGGGGCAGATAAGCAACATGTTTCTCTGTGAGCAATGAGAGACCCGGGACTATCAAATAGTACTAAGCAAAGTTGACAGCCCCGTTGAGAGAAAGTCTTTGAACAAACTCCTTTTGGCAAAGGACCTAAATCATAATTAAAAAAGGAACAAGAAAATATAAATAAATGAGCATAAAACATGGAAAGCAATGAATAGTGCCGACAGCACAGATTGAACGCACAAATGACTAACCAGTAAGATGTTCCCTCAGAGACTCAAAAGATTTGCAGTGCTTTTGACAGACTCCACACGCAGGCTGATGGACGGAATGGTTTGAGGTTTTCATGTGCTCAATTAGATGCTCTTTCTTCTTGAATTGTTTATAGCATGCCGAACATTTGTGTCTGTAGGAAGAAATCAGTTATTCTTCAAACAAACTACGCAAAAAAGCAGCTATACCCAGAGGAATAAAAAAAGAACAAAACTGAGTGCATTGATTCAATATATATTATTCTACTCAGAAGCATGAAACATCCCCTCATTCACTATATTGCAGATACTAATTAGTCACTGTAAATAGAAAATTCAGGCAACTATATATATCAGATACTCATTAGCCCCCACAAACTGATTGAAAACTAACTAGAATATTTGCTCAAACAAGAGAATCTTTTAAAGTGCAACACAGAACAAAATGTAGTAATATACAATTTTAAAAACTCCATAAATTTGAATTTGATTCTAAAATCCTCATAAATTTTTTTCATGACAAGGTTCGATTTTACAAACAAAACTAAAGAAAAATTGAAAGTGAAGCGCAGCAGTTTGACCTTGGAGTAGGGTTTTGAGTTGAGTCCGCTTTGGCCTCCATATCAAATGGTAAATCAAACGCATGCAAAGCGATGTTGGTGTGGCGCAGATACGATGAAATGACTCGTATTTGGCGTGTTAGCGAGAGGATTCAATAGAAAAATCACAACATTTTGTAGTATAGTGAGGTACACGAAAAATTCTGTGGTGAAAGGGCTACTCCAAAACCCTAACAACGCCAAGGAAGAAGATGCAACGACTGCTTTGAGTCGAAACGCACAATGCTACTGTGTAGACAGCAAGTGGAGCAGTCACCCCAACCAAATATCACAAATTAAATTCTGCTTTGGTTTATTTTTAATTTAATATTCAGCACTAATATTTCAGTTTCAATCCATTTTTGTTACTACAAAATTATTAAACAATTTTTACAAAAAAGTTAAATATACTATATATTTTTTTATTTATATTACTGTTATTATTACATATATATATATATATATATATATATATATATATATATTTTATTTTTTTTTCTTTTTCTACTTTTACTCTTTAAATAATCATTTTTTAAAATTAAAATAATTATTTTACTAATTTTATTTTTTAAATAACTGTTTTAAATTTAATCATTTTTCAAATTAAAATAATTATATATAATACAATCATATCAATAGCAAATGTGTTTCCCCCCGGTTATTATAATATCATTGCTATATTCATGTTTTAAATTTTTCTCATATTATAGTTAAGAATTCTAAACAATATTTTATCCAATCATTATAATTCTCATTAAATTTTCATATAATAATTGATGCATTAAGATTACTGCAAATTCTTCCGACAATTAGATGGTCTTTAGGTTCAATATGAGAGAAAATAGTTTCTGTACACCTAGGCTTTTTAGAAACAACTTTGTTTATCGCGAATTTGATTTCCTGTTGCTATTTAAAGGTAATCTAACATTTACGTCAAATTATGTTATTAATGTTGTAATGTGAGGCGAAGCAAGCGATTATTACATCGTTAATTGAAAATGTACAAACACAAAAAAGTATAAAAGTTAGACGAGAACTTAAACCAAATAGATTTACCAAAAAGAAAACAGATAAAGCAATAATGATACCTTAGTTTGCACATACTTGATGAACAGATACCTCTGGATTTTGTAAACTTGTACCGGTGTTGTTTTAATACAACATGCAATCCTTTGTAAAGTGTGTAATCCTTTGTAACAAGAAGCCAAAACATAACCCAGAAACAAACATTTGACATGCCACTTGATCACGTTCAACCTCTCATTCTCAACCTTCAGTCATCATCAGCCAACCAGGGTGTCTTTGTTTCACATGTTTCATATAATGACACCTCAGCTTTTTGTACTTCAAATAAATCCACTACTCTACCTTTTTCTGTTGCCAGTTGAAACATCCAGCCTCAGCCTCAGCCTCAGCCCCAGCCCAAGTTTGTTTGTTTCTTAAAACACAGCTTATGAAAACACATGCATTGGGGATAGATTTGAACCAACAATACCAAAAACTTTTTTTGATCCATCTAATGAGCATAGTCTGATGATCAAGGTCACTGAGACACAGGACTTCATAATTTTCATAGGAGAATTTCAAAAGCTTCTATGTTACTTAACCTACTTTAGCACTACTACTATACACATATGCAACATTAGATCAAATTGCAGGGAAATAGAAACAACTACCTACACATTGCAAAATACTAAGGCTTAGCATAACAAGACAGTAATCTTCGTCGTGAAGTGTTTTAACCGTAGTTTCTTCACATGTCTGTCCACTTAGACAGACTTGTTGCTTTCCCAATAGGCAAAGGCTTGTGCTCAGCTTCCCAAAGAAAGCTTTCAGTGACTCTTACAACAGGGGGACCCCTTTTGTAGTGGCGCTGTCTTTGCTTTACCTTTCTGGCCAAAAGAAAAATCAACCACTCCGGTTTCCCACATCATAACTGGGAGTTGAAATATAATTTGGGTCCATAACCGTGTCACCATCCAGTATTCGCAGAACCTTGAACAAACAAGACAAGAATGCCATCGAAATCAGGTGGGGAAAACCAAAAGTAGCGTAACATCATCCATGCGTAAAGTTAGTGTTTAGAACATTGGAAGTCAGTAATATTCTTTGCTCTCACAATAAAAGAACCATCAAGAGTGAATTCATAAAAATTAACGCTCAGTTCAGCAACACACGAGGAATTCCTTCAAGTCCCCAATTGACATTATAATTATAACCTTTAAGCCTATAATTTCTTAAATTTAGGAAATGTGAATGTATTGTAGCCAACTCATGGAAAAAAGACAAAAAACAAAAAAAAAAAAAAGTTCAATTTTCCTTACCTGTGACATGCGAGGTCTAGAATAAGGATCTCTCCTTATGCACAATGAGGCAGCATGCAGCATGCAATAGACCTCATGTTCCGAATAGTGACTTCCCAACCTTGGATCAATCAGTTCCTCAATGGCATATTCTTCTAACAGTGGTCGTGCCTGTTTAGATATCGAATGCTCACATAAATGATGCCATTGCCACAATTAAAATCATAATAAATTAGATATTAATATCATTTGACTTACCCACTCAGTAAGACACTGCTGTCCCTTTGGCCTATTCAGATCCACAGCCTTTCTCCCTGTAACAAGTTCCACTAATACAACACCAAATGAATAAACATCAGCCTTTTCAGTAATTTGGCCGCTTTGAGCATATTCAGGAGCCAAATACCTGCATAGCACCAACAAAGCTTAGTTAAATTGTTGATATTGTGCAGACTAACAAGACAATGAAACTAAATAAGGATTAATACAGCGGATACCCAAATGTTCCGATCACTCTAGTTTCCACTCCTGTGTCACCATCAGGCTGCCACCTTGCCAGTCCAAAATCACCAACCTGGAATAATTTAACACAACTTAATTAACTGAAAACTTTGTGAAAGAAAGACATGAAGCAGTGGTGCCTTTCACATGTAAACTATAAAACAGCTGACTGCATAGAACAATAGCAGGTGACAGACAACCCATACCAGAGGTTCAAAATCATGAGTGATAAGAATGTTGTTCGGTCGCATGTCACGGTGGATAATGCAACCCACTCTGCACTCTTCATGAAGATATCGCAACCCTCGGGCAGCTCCAACAGCAACTTTTTGCCGGGCAGACCATTCTAATGGTTTTCGTTGTCTCCCTGATAGAGTTCCAAGTCATGTCCAGTTATCCAGTTAACAAATTGAGCCGGTATCAGTAAAATGCAACCTATACTACATGATTGCAATCATTATATTTAATGTGAAAATGACAAAATATTTACATATTCTGCATTACTAGTCTTCAAGAACAAGATAAGTCCAACTCCAACCAAAAGCATAAATGCGTGCTAATTAAAATATGTGTGATGAAACCAAGTTTTATATAGGAGTATATATAAAGACGTCAATCTGATTAGCTTTACAAAAGTTAATCTACCACATCAAACCAAATTCCCATATATTAGGTGATGCATAACTTTTCAAATAGATAAATCCTCGACCTTTCACAGACAACATGAATATGAATGTTAACGAAGTTCAAGCCAATTCAGAAACATGACCTTGCCACAGCATAACTTGGTCTGAAAGCAAAAGAAATTACCATATAAATGAGAATCCAATGATCCATTGCATATGTACTCATAAACCAATAGCCTTCTCTTATCCTCTATACAGAAACCAATCAACATAACAACATTTCGGTGCTGAGCACAGCTCAGGACTTCTACCTCCGAGCAGAATTCAAGGTCACCCTGAGAACTGGCCAATTTATGTTGCTTCACAGCAACAACTTGTCCATCTGGTAGAACACCTCTGTGAACAGATCCAAATCCTCCTTCTGCCAAGAAATTGGCTTGTGAAAATCCACCAGTGGCAAGCTCCAATTCAGCATAGGTAAACCATCTTGGAGGTTTTCCAAAAACAGGAGCCTTGTGTTGACAGATTGAACACAAGGGAGGTGGACCAAGCGGAGTATTTCTAGATAACGCTATTGCTTCTCGTACATTCCCACTGAAATCCAAGTCAGTCTTATAGGTTGAGATTTCAATTTCAGCTTCTCTATCAAGTCTCGAGAACTTTTCTAACAAAGCTCTAGTAGTAGACAATTGATTCCTACTATGAGATCTCTCTGTTCTTTCTTCCTTAGGTTGAGAAGATCGTTGATGCAGAAGTAAATCGGTGATCCATGGCTGGAATCTCAAGCTTGCTGAAGAAGTGGATAAGCTTTCACTGTCTGTGTCTGATATAGAATCATCAAGTTCTGGATTTTCTTTTATAGTTTCCTCTTTTTTGGACTCGCTGTTTATCTCAGAGATGAAAAATGGCGAAGTTCCTTGATCAGAGCTTGAAACTGATGAAGTACCAGCTTCAGTTGCAGTGAATGGTGTCCCTAGCTCAGGGCTGCTAGATGGAGTGACAACTGGACCTTTTAAGGAATTTAAAGAATCACTCTTGTTCTTAGTTTGTTTTCCAAGCACCTGATCTTGTTCAGAAGGTAGTGAACATAATTCTTCAAGATCCTTCTTTTTTTTTCCAACCAAATTCAAGCGGAGTACCTTAGGTTGTGAACGCTTCATGACCACAATGTTGCATTGCAGCTCTTCCATACATTGTTTTTCTTCATGTTTGAGCTGTCTGTACAAAGCAAAATTGAAATACCAACAATTCATACTGAATTATAATCACATCAATAAAATAGTGAAACCAGAAATGAAGAGTTCAAGTTTGTTTTTATTACACAAGCACGCCTTTAGGTGGGGGAAAATATGATAGAAAATTACTTGTCTAAAACGACCCAATTGGCTTGGGCTTTCTTGGCTTCCGCAGCCACTGCTCCACATGGTGATCCAGAAACAATTTTAATCTTCACATTTATCTGTTGAATAACTGTTAGGTTGGCGTATAGATGCAACATTGAATGTGAAAACTCTTATATTAACACTAACCTTGTTAGGATCATAGACATCATGGAGCTGAAGGATCATTTGAGAGCAAGAGTCAGTGATATCACACTTCTGTTCCGAACTTGATGATCCTGAAGAAGATTTCTTATGACCACTGGCACAATCACCAGCAAATCTTGGAAAACCCCATAATCTTCTGCCTACATAGGCGCAGAACAATAGTTAGGTACACAGAATAAAGGAAGACTGCAGGTTCAAATGACCAATAAAAAAAATAACAGAGTAAAGGTTCTTTCATGCATCAAGAATTTAAGCTGAAATAAGAGACACACACAAGATACAGCAATACTAAATAACTATAGTCATCCACCACAAGCAAGAAAGTAAACAAAATTATCACACAAGGGTTTATATAAAATGTCAGCCTGCGATCCATTTGTTCATAATTCTTATTCAAAACAAAACAATCCATATAAAAAAGGGAGTGACATATCCTTAGGACCCAACTAATATATTATTTGCTTGCCAAAATAGGCAACCATAATGACCACACCTTAATAAATAATGTCTGACAAAAGAGCAAATAGATAAAGAAATTAAGGCAAAAATTTCATTACCCGAACTCTGTGAAGGTACAACTACTAGCAGTGTAATGCAATCGCCAGGTTGCACAACATGAGTCAGGGACCAAACAAGAGCAGTCTTTGGAATTTCCTTTGATGCCTTAACGGCAACAATGACCTTTTCAGCTCCATCAGAACATATTTCTTGTTTCCCTCGCTTTTGCTGTTCTCGATTCATCAGGGCCAGCAATCCCACAAAAACTGTCTTGCTCAACAGATGTCACTCAATAACTTTCAAACCCAGATGTTCCTACATTTTAAACAACAAGGGGATGAAACGCAAGAGCATGTTCAAGATCACTAGTTTTTTCTGTCGTGTTCAAGCTCTACCAGGATTATCATATATAACCAGACCACAATGCAACATGCTTCCAATAGGAACAGAACAATCACTGACAAGACTCTTTTAACCCGAACTCAAATCATTAGTGCTACAGATTGGCAAGTAAACTTTTTTTATCAAATCCATGTTACCAAAATAGAATCAAATCTGTCAAGAATCGGATCAGATACCTTTTTGGTTCAGAAAGCAAGACGTTGCATCCCCAAGTTTACCATACTGTGCATCTCAAGTTTCAGAAATTCTACAGGGTTAAAAGCACTGCTGGGGAAGGCCTATGAGATAATTCATTGCACGAGAACAGTTGCATACACTAGCTATGTTGTGGAGTCTTCAAATTATTCTTTACAAGTCAAAAAATTTGGCTTCAACTAGTTGGCTTTGCTTTTGATGATCCTCCAGAGGAAGCCCTGCCAAAAGATTCCACTACATAAACAGTGGCATGTCCTTCATATATCAAGAGTTTGAATCACTATTTGATATGACTAAAGGTAGAGAGGTCTTGTAGTTCTCCGAGTCACTGAAAACTCAGCATCAGTTTTTACCCTGCACAGTGACATAGGAATCAACTTTAAAAGTTGGAAATAGAGATAATAATAGCATCAATAATGCAGAGTCTAAAGAAGAAGAAAAATGCATGTCAGTGTGAGACATACAGATAAGTAATCACTAGCAACCTTTTGATTGCTTAAGAATATAAAAAATATCACTAAGGATCCAAGTAGAAAACAATAAGAGAGATCTCTCAAGAAGATCCAAAACTTTCTTTTTCTCCATTATTGTGTCATGCTAGTATATACCATGTCCATCCTCAGGACAATGAACATCCTGCATAAAATAACAAAATAAAACAACAGCAACCAAAACAAATAATAACATACATTTCGCTGTTTAGGCTAGTCATATCATCAGAACCTGGAAATTTTCAAAGAAAATTCATACAGTTAAACTTCAAATAAAACAACATCCTCAACCAAATAACAGAAAAAAAAAATCAAAATCAAAACCTAACCAAATAAAACAATATCCTCACAGCCAAGCATCAACCAAAAGAAAGAAGTGTCTGATAATCGAACTCGCTCAAATTATTGTTTGCAAAAACTAAAAAAGATAAAGAGTGACGAATTTTGACCCTTTTATACTGTTGTCAAAAGTTAGAAAAAGCCCAAAGCTTTGTCATTAAGGTTTCTTGCTTACTTTGCGACAATCTCCTCTTACATTTGAGTGATAACAGAATCCACAAGTATGAAAAGAAAACATGAAACTAGCCACGGTTGGACAACCCAAAGGTTTTAAGGTCTGGGAGAATGAAAAGAGTGGAAAAATGGTTTTGGAGAAAAGAAGAAGAGAAGAGGTGAAATTTGTTGGTTTGAGGAATAGAGAGAGTTAAGACCAAACTGGGACAGAAATATAGTATTGTATCCTTTCAAAAATTGTAAGAGTAATTTATTACTATGAAATGCAATGGTGTTGCAATTTGGTGTAGAAGATGAAATGCACACACGCATGGGACATGACATACTTTGAATGCAGAGAGAGAAATTCAGATTTTGTGCAGAGCAGAGAAAGCTAAGCTGTAAATCGCCGTCTACATGTGTGTCCGACTTGTCAACTGTGATCATTTCTGAAATGGCTTTTCCATATATATATATATATATATATATATATATATATATATATATATATATATAGTGTATTATATCTATGTGTGTGTTATATAGTGTATATTAAACCTGAACTATGTTATCAGAAATGATATGTTTATCTGAAAGTAGGATAAAATATGGAATGAAAATATTATATCTAACAATATGTTAACACAACATTGTATTAATTAAAAGAAGATTATATATCATAAGAATGCTACAAAAGATACTTGACATAAGACAAAGATATAAAAATATTATCTATAATAAAAGTAGTACTAATATTTAATTTCTATTTTTTACTTTTTTACTTTTACTTATAATATTATTTCATTTATATAAAATTTGAAATAACTTTCTTAGTGTTCATATATTGTGTTAGACTTATTCTTCATAAAACATTTTAAGAAATTTTCATCTATAATTTTTTTAATATTTATTTAAAAATAAATAATAATATTTATGTTATAGAATAACTGAACATAACTGAACACGAGATATAGGCAAGTAAAGAATTCAAATGACACATATAACAAGTCTGAATTATTTGCAATATTTTACATAATTTTTTTATGTAAATTAAGGAACATATCAGATATTGGATAAATAATATATTTATTAATTGTATAAAAATAATTATACTATAGTTTAATTATGCATTACTATTGTATATATATTTATCATTTTCTTACAACAACCACTATGTAAGTATGCTATAAAAAATTATTTTATAACTCATATTTATTACACATTTAAATAATTGATAATATAAAAAAATATTAATAATACACAGAAGTTAAATTCAATACTTTATGTTTTTAAAATACTAAAAGTAATTTTATTTATTTTTCTCTAAAGTAAAATGTTCTTTGAAATAAAATATTCATTTATACAACACTCTGTTAATTATTTGCGTTAGTTGTTCTTTGAATAAAATATTTTAGATGATACATTATAATAAATATTATAGATTATTTTTTGCTCTTTGGAATAAAGATTGAAAAATTTTATTTTTAAAATTTGAGTTTGGTTGTTATTATTTACAGGATGAAGAAAACATAAGTCTTTTAAAATAAAAAAAGAATATAAGAAAAATTATATTCCTAATATATTGATCCTTACATTGTTTGGTTTTAGTTGCAGTTATTGTACTTGTTTTATTTTGAATTTATCTCTTTAAAAGTATGTGTCAAATGTTAAAAAGAAGTTTCCTTAAATCATAAAAGAAAAACTTATTAAAACCTAAAAAAACAAAAGTATGAAATTACAAAAAGAAAAACTTACATTTATTTAAAAACAAATCAGCATAGGATTGGAAAATGGATTTTTTTTTTTACACAAATGCATGTACTAATTCTAACAAAATAATAATGCAAACCTATGATTCAGTGAAATGATATGACCTATACTCTATATCATGATTTTTACTAAGTTGTGTTTCTAATAACAAAACCGCAGTCATTATGTTTTGTTCTGCTGCTTCTATTCGTCTCAACAGTTACAAGATAAGAGACAACACTCATTAGCCTCATCATCATTTTCTGAATCATAGAATTTCTAACTGTGATTTTGATGTCCTTATTTATAATAAAAATAACAATAATGTACTGCTTAACCACATCATTAATTATTGATTACTACTTGACAAATTTTTTGTATACTGTAGTGGTATGCTTTATCTATTTGTTGGTTCATTAACAGCAGAATCTTGCAAACAAAAAATACAAAAAAGAAAAGATGAAATGTTGTGAAAGCATTGACTGCACTGCATGAAATGAAGATGAGTATGAGCAGCAGCAGCATCTGCTGAATGTGTAGGTGTACAACATGCATGAACAAAAGACAATGTGGTGCATAACAAAAAAACAATAAAATATGAACCCATTTAGTAATCTACTATCTCTATTCCCAATTCAACTTTTGGAAGGTTGTCATAAGATCAATAAATGAGAGTCACTCGCTCTCCTAATTCTTCCAATTTTCAAAACCCAAAAACAGAACAACCAACACAGATATCGTAGGAACCAGAACAGTTGTTCCGTCATCAGTGGTTGTGGTTTTTTTGGTACCACAAAACAACTTCACTGGGGGACCCACTAGCCGTTACCAATCCCCGTCTATTCAGCACCGCTGTCACCCTCGAATCACTTCCCGATGAGTAACGTTTTCCATCTATTCCAACCTCATCGTCTTCTCAGTTCTGCTTTAATTTCACGCTGTGTTCTGACTTCTCTCATCGTTACGTACTTTTCAAACCAGCAAATTTATAACTCTATTTTATTGCATTATTTGGTCAGATTATGAAATATTAAGAAACTCTGAAGGAAGCAATTGATACTGTTACTGTTCTTCTCCTGTTTTACACAGCACTTGGAGAGTAGAATTGAAAACCAAAACCTTGCGCTTTTAGTAGGGAAATTAAGTAGCCGTATTAAAACAAGAAGGTGTTAGGTGAATTAGCCAGAATTGCCTACAATTATGAATGAATGAAGTGTATTTTTGCTATTATTGACAAACAAACTATTGTACAAATATGTTTCTTTAAAGATAATAATCTTTTAAAAAAAACACAAAATTTAAATAATAAACTCATGTAATCTACTTAGACAAAGAAACATTGAATGACTCAAAACTACCCAAATCTCCTGGATATCTAAGACACTTACTGTGTCATGAAAATTCTTCTCAAATCAATCATTTATTTTTATAATTGTAATTTTCTTCTATTTCATTATTTATATTACTTATGGTGATATTTTGATGAATAATTACATGATAATCAATAATTTTCAATGTCAAAGGTACCTTAGTGAAACTCTTTGTTACGTGAGATAAAACATATATTATATCTATAATATTTATTAATATTTATTGAGAATTTAAGTGTAAGTATAAATTTTACATTTTATATAAATTAGAAAGTTGAACAGTATAAAAGCAAAACAAATACACACTTATTATTTAAAGGAAAGATGATGTCAATATTTTATATGGTTTGAATTCATATCTTATTGAGATATTGTTGTTTTTCTTATGTGATCATTTTTCTAAAAGACCTATCAATATTATATTATGTTTGATTTTACCGCATTATATGAATTGTGAATAATATTTTAGATTGATTTGCTTTCATACCATAATTTATAGAAATATTAACTTTGGAAATTTTCATCATTTTATTACATTATGACATAAGACTTTGAGTGAATAGATTTATAGGTCGTCTTCTTTTAAGGTAATCAACTTTTTGTCATCTTTATCTAATATGGGAGTTAGAATCACATTTAAATTTCTAATACTGATTGACTTTACTTATAACATACAAATAATCACTATTTTCATAAATATATAAAATTATGATCTTAGATATTAAAAGTCTGTATAAAAAATTTGGAGAGATATGACTTATTCTATCCAATTGGAAGAATCTTAATGTATATTTCTTCTTTAAAAATCTCATGAATAAAGACATTATTTATATTCAAGTGGTGTAAGTCTTGACTAAAATGAGTTGTGAAAACAAAAAGAACTTAAAAAATATTAATCTTTTTTAATGTTCATGGAATTTTTGTCGCGACTTCCACTCTAATTACGTCGTTACTTGTGCACTCATCAACATATACAGGGGATCAGTGTGATTGACGATACACGCAGGATGTTCGACAAATTGTCTCACTCAGACTTAGTCTATTGGACGATCTCTAACTCGACATTAACATGTAACGATGCGTTTAGGGAGGTCATATGATTGTTTTCCGTTATGTGCGACATAAAATACCATCGTACACCAGCATCCTCACAGCGAAGAAGAAGGGGAAAGTTAGGGTTAAATGATACATTTACAAAGGTTATTATTGGAAAATGGTGCAGAAAGAAAGATGAGAGGGTACAGGAAGCAATTTTCAAGTGAAGTTGGGTTGGTCTTGCTTAATTACATTGAAATTGGGAATGAGATTGATGTACAGAACTTGAAGCCCAGTAATTTTGTCATTTAAGAAATCCGATACGTATTTTGTTGTTAAATAGTGAGAGAACTGTATTTAGATATCAGAGTGCACTTTAAAAGAAGCATTTAAAAGATGAATCCTTAAAAGAAGCATTTAAAAGCATTCTTTTCACTCTTTTTTTTTCTCTCTCTGAGGCTGTCCTTTAAGGCTTTAACCAAAATCGAGAAAGTAAGAAAACAGATTTATGTCAAGGCTGAATCAAGTAATTTAATATTAAAACTTCAAAAACATGAATAGCTTTTATGGGGGAAGCCAAACAATCATATGACACAAATCAATGCAACCAAAATTTGGTGCAAAAGAAAGGGTAAAAATGTACCTGTTTAAAGAGACATTAATTAACATATTCCATATGAAAATCTAAATATGAATGATAAAGTTAGACCATTGTATAAAAACAAAATCTCATAAATTTATTGTTTTAAAGTTTTGAATTACAGTGTATAATTTCTTATTTGGACGGATTCAGAACAATATTTTTGTCCTAGTACCGTAGTGCAAGGCAAATTCATGCAGTACAACACATAATAGGGGAATGAGGTCCAAAACATGAAGTTGATACAATGAAAACAAGAGAAGGACAGGGAAAAGTTGAAGCCAAAAAATAGAAACTGAGGAAATGGAATCAGAATATTTTCTTAATTATCGTAAAGAGACAAGTTTGGTTGTCTAGTGGGTTTGAAGAGGCAGCCAAAATGTTGAATGTTATGGTCATGGACACAATTATGACATGGTTCTTCTCAGTTCCAAGTTTACGTGGAATCATTAACTACAGAACGGTGACAGACACAAAGCAATATGCAATGCTGGTAGCAATAAAGAGGCTCCAGTGGGGGCTAACATAGC